ACTGATAGGATCAGTTCTTGAACATGCATGAAACAAAAATTGCTCATATATAACACAGCATTCTAAGCTTTTATGCCTTTGAATTCTGGATGCACTGTATGGAAACTACTCTGTACATACCAGACACAAAGAAGACTCTTGATATCTAAATACCTATAAATCACCATCTCCCTCTGGATGGGTCTGCAGCAAATATCCTCAGTAACTTGACTACTTTATTCAGAAACATCCTGGCTATATTTCCCTCAAATTTTTGGTACCAATTTCTCTAAAGCCAACAAATTACACTATTTATCTCAGAGAGCAGATTTTATAAGTGCTTATAGGATTACAGTCACAGATAAGCTGTGCTTCTCCAGCCTGGAGACAAAGTGACTGGTTCAAGATAACAAATTAATTATTTTTGCCATCAGGGACCAAAGCCTTGAACAGGATATAACCATCCTTCATTCCTCCTTCTCTGACCTACAATGCCCTATACTAGCTTTCTTTCCTGTCAAGTTTTAAAAAGCTTTAACCTTTGTTTTCAAGATTTGCAGTTCCATAAACACTATTTCTGATGAAATTTCCTTTCATGCCGAAATAATCTACTTAAGTCTCTCTCCCGGTTTACCCCAGCCAATGATACTTCCTCCCTAGTTTCACAAGTTCATACTAAAAATCTCTCTCCCCTACCATGAGCCATTTTCACCTCCAAATTTCCTGAAAGAATCTCACCTCAGCCATTCACCCAGACTACCAAGTGGCAGACATGTTCTAGTACTTTATCTGTGTGAAAGTTGACTACCTATAGTTTAACAAAATTATCTTTATCTTACCTATCCGCACAGCTGTTACATTTCACCATACTCAGAACAGCTCCCATAAGGAAGAACATCAGAATGGGATCCAGCAGAATATATTGTGACAAAGTAATACAGCCCGTATCTAGAGAGACACACAACAATGTCAAAAAGGCGCACGGTTCCAAAGTGAATCTAAGATTGCAGGAAGCCAGTTTCCTCAGTGTAGTCAAGACAAGGGAAACAAGGGAAATTTTAGAAACAAAGGCAGATCAGAACATTCTACTTGTGTAACAAATGGAAAAAAGCCCTCACAAAAACCAGGCAGCACAACAGTATCTGTGAAACACCACTGAGAAGAGCTGCTAACATATTCAGATGGAGAGCATTACAGACAGCAATGATCTACCTACTAAGGCACCAGCATGGTGCCAGAGGATGCTACAGGAGAAGTCATCTTTCAGATGTTACCCATAAAAAGTGAATATGACTTGGGTATTTTAAGTCTCCACGCCTCCATATCTGTGTGTCCTCACAAAACCCCAAATTGGGTAACTCCATTTGCAATGTTAATTTCTGCACTTGTCTCAATTCAACAAGGAACTTTATTAATTTCTTACTGTGAACTCTTCCACAGTAATGCAGTTAAATACCTCTATAATCCGTATGGGAGACATCAATATTTCACTAGTGGGCAAAATCATTCCTGACCATGCATCTTATAAAAATTCTTAGAATTGATGTGAAATGTAGCCCAGTGTGGTTGTGCAGATAACAGAAGTACCTATGAACTAAACAAGACTGTAAAATTCTTAAGGAGACCAGAAATTAAAAAGCCTCATATATATAAAGCAGAATTACTTTGCTTTTGGGAACCTCTCTCATTAACCTCAATATCCCCTGGCTAGGTAACACACAATAATCCAGAAATTAAATTTTCTGAACAATGAATCTGTTCAATTTTGCTGTGGCAGGAACACCTACCAAAAATAAGGATGAAAGCTGTGAGTAAGGCTGCTGGCAGTGACTTTGACAGTTCCAACACTGTGAGGTAGGCGAAGGGAACCAGGCAGGAGCCAAGGAATGCACAGAACTGCAGGAAATAAAAATCACAGGAGAAGTTATAATCCTCCCCAAGGTGAACATGCATCCACACCCTTTCCCTTCCTTCATCTTCCACATCAACACAGGAGGTGTTGCAGTAGCTGAAGTGACTCACTAAGAACATCAGACAAAAGCCAAATGAACAAAGATACTGCTCGGAAAAGGACAGCTGCTTACTCTGTTCTGCAGAGGTGTCAGTAACGACAGTCAGTCATTCTCTTGTTAGACTACATCAGATAATCACAAAAAGATACATCAAGTAGGTTCACTACACATCCACTATACTCAGCTGATTTTAGCAAGACATTAGAATATAAAATCTAAGAACAAAATACACCTGTACCTTACATTTTTAGCAGACCAGTATCACTTCTCCTGCACAAATGAGACTGAGGATAGTTGGATGACAAAGAACAGAAATCAAAACAAAAAGAAAGCAGCATCACAGTAAAATTTGTTCTCTTCAATGTCTGGTTCTAGCACTTCTCCCACCTTTGGCTTAAGGAAATCTAGAACCATGAATAGCTGGAGACCCTGAAACTAAACCAAGAAAATATGCCTTCCCAGTTTTTATTCTTCTTTCTAGGTAATAGCAACTGGCCACTGTTTCTTCTTTTGGCTTGTGTTACCTGCTGTCGGTTTTATGGCTCTTGGTCATTCTAGATAGCAGCACAGCTAGGGTTTCTGGTAGAATACCACTCTGACTAGTAATTTCCCCTGGCCCATCAGCTTACTCAGGTCATTGTCACTGGTGGTGGCAAACTGCAGGTGTCAGTGAATGATCCTGGCTTTTTGACATCCTTGGATGCCCAGCAGAGCAGCCAGGCACAATGAAGTGAGCAGAGGACCAAGCTCAGCAATGTTCCCTTTGCAGAACAGGGAAGATATCTGTCCCACTCAGGAGTATAGTCCCACTAATTAGCAGCAAGAGTTGCCCTCAATAATCGTCTTACTTTCATACCTGGCCTCTCACAGCCAGACTCTAAGACTTATTCGTAACACAACCACTAACACTTTTCTAAGGAGCTTAAAGACAAGGCACAAAGCTAAACAGTCCTCTGATCCAGGAGAGCTGTTCTTATGACATAACAGTCTGTACTGAAAAGCACAGGTCTGCTGACCAGCTTGATATTAGCCTGTGGATCCTTACCCCTCTCATTCCCATGTAGTTGTGCTGCTCATATCTGTCCCCTGGCTTTTGGAAAGGAAATGTACCATCGTATCCACTTAGGTAGCCAGCAAGTCCAATCAGCATCTGAAGAGGAAAGGTGAAACAACTGGTCAGGGATATCACATTGGAGGAAGGAGTATCCAAGCTAGCAGCAGCTAAGATTTTTATAGAAGCCAAGTTCAATCCAGAGGATAACTACTTAATTCATACACATCATCCAATGTGTTTATGTATAGTTTATATATAGAATTCACATGCATACATATTGCCCTTCCTCTAAAGGCAAAATCCAAAGGGATCAAGAGGACTTTGGCTGCTGAGAATAACGATGACTGCAAGCTCAATAGAAATACCAAGTGTGGGATTTAGCAGAGAATTCTGTCTCTGTAGATTCTCCCACAGCCCCCTATTCCTATAGTTGAAGGACACTCAGCCTGAAAGGAAGATAACCTTTCTGAGGCAGGAGTGCACCTTCATCAACACTGCACAAGTTATTCGATTACAGAATAGCAAGCCAAGGCTTACAGGGTCATTTGTGGTAGGCATCTCGTTTGCACACAAACTATCAGGAATTGTTTGGTCCCTTTGAACTGTAGGCTTCTACTACATAGCCCCTCCAAACCACAGGAGCGCCATGCTCATTTTTTAATTTCCAACCTTTCAAATACCCAACATGCAATACTGTTTTGTTTTCCCATATTCAAAGTATTTTCACAAAGAAGAGATGTGAGTTTAGGCTCTGGATGCAGAATGCAAATTACCATGACAACAACAGTTAGGAAAGGCATTGGTGTTTATCAGATCCTTCATCTAGAAGGAAGGGGAAGACTTTTATTGGCCCACTCCTGTGGCTTCTAAAACAGGTAACAGAAGAGCAGTTTACCTTCCCCAAAGGGGGGTGGACATCAAAGAAGAAGGTCCGATTAATGTAGTAACTTCCCATCTTCCCAAAATGAGTTTCATCCCAACTGGGGAAAAAACAAAAACAAAAAACAAAAACAATAAATAACCTGCTGTAATACTTAAGAGAGTGAAAAAAAAAATATCCAGGAAAGTCTTTTTACTCATGCTTTTCATCATACAGAGGGTTAGTGCCATACATTCAATATGAGGCAGTGTATGAAATTCAGTGGGAAATCATGGAGAGTAGCTCAGCCATTCGAGGCAGGGTCCTTTTTGAAGAGTCTGGTATCAGCACTCCAAAACCTCTAGCCTGCCTTTCCGATTCTAGGTCGGGCTCAGAGACGTTAAAAAGCCAGCCTGCAACCCACAGGTCCCCAAAACCGCCCCCCCTCAGACGCGGTCCCCTCTGTGCAACGTGTCCGGGGAGCAGCAGGGGGAGCGGCTCAGGGGCCGGGGCCTCCGGTGCGGCACGGCGCTTCCCCGCGGCCCCCACCGCCGGGCTCTCGCCCCGGCGCCTGCTGCCGGCGGTAGACGGGCCGGGCAGGGGCGGGCAGGGGGACGCGGCCCGGCGGTTCCCAGGGCGCCTCCCGGGGGACGGCGGACCGCCACCCGCGACCAGCGCCGCGGGCCCCGCCCCGGCCCGTACCAGACGTGCGGCGGCTCCGGCAGGCGGTGGAAGCGGGAGGCGAAGCTGAAGAGGGTGACGAGGGCCAGCGCGGCCTGGCGAGCCGCCGCGGGAGGGGCTGCGGGGCGCCCCGGCCCCCCCGGCCGCCGGCGGGACTCCCGCTGCCGCAGCGGGCCGCCGCCGCCGCCGCGCGCGCCCGCCCCGGCCCGGCCGCCCCCCGCCGCCGGCATCCGCGGGGCTCCGCCGCGCGCAGCGCGGGGCCGGGCGCGGCGCATCCTGGGAGACGGAGTCCGGGTGGAGCGCGGGGCACGCTGGGAGATGTAGTCCCGGCGGGGAGCTGGCGGACGAGGCCGCGGCCGAGCGCCGAGGGAGAGGGGGCGGCCCCCGCCCGGCACCGCGGCCCCCGCCCGGCACCGCGGCCCCCGCCCGGCACCGCGGCCCCCGCGGGGGGGTGAGCGCGGCCCCCGCGCAGGATGAGCTCTGCCGCGGCCAAGGTATGCGCTGCAGGCAACGCGGTCTCCGTCCGGAGCGTCCCCGCCGGGCGGGAGGGGAGCTGGAGGGAGCGGGCTCGGGGCGGCGGCTCGCCGCCCTCCGCCGGCGAGGGCCTTGCTCGGTTTAGCCTTGCCGCCCGCCGGCCCACGGCAGGCTCTGGTGACCCGGGCTCCGGAGGGGCCGGGGGGGCGGTTACCGGGGGCACTGCGACCCCGTGCACAGCATCGCTGAAATAGATGCCCTCAGCCTCGGCCTGCACCCGCGTCTCTCAGTGGAGAGCAAGGAATTTGCCCCCATGCTAAATAAAACTAATGCCTTTCAAAACACTGGTGGTGTTCACTTAAGGTAGTTTACCCATGTGAGCTGTTAACACCAACACCTGCTGCAGAGATATGTAAGAGCAAATCTGTGCCTTCTGCTTATACCCTTATATTTTAACCCAGCAGAACGCTATTGATGCCTTTCAGACACTGAGGTTTCCCCTCCGCAGGCGTCCAAGGAACAGTTTTCTCTCGTGTCCCATGTGGGCAGACTGCTTGGCGTGGTGGGTCTCAAGAAACAGGTGAAAGGCTTTGCGTTTCCAAGTGCATCCCAAATATAAGCTGGGAAGAGGTGGTATCTGCAGGAAAACACACAGCAGAGCACTGGCTTGGAAACCTGAGAGCTCAGTGCACAAAGCTTGGGGTGTCTTTTCCAGCTTCTAAACCAACAAAATGTGTTTCCCAGATGTTTTACTCTGGATTGGGATTTAAACCCAAACATTCATCACTGCACCACTGATGCTGGATATGAAAATAGAACCAAATCAGAAATCGCTGTAGACATCAAGCAAATGCTGCCTTCCTGCCATCCTCCCAGCTCCAACCGCTCTAACCTGTAGTTCATAGGGATTGTACCCTATTGGGTTGTAAATGGAGGCAGTTCTTACCTGCTACTTCCCTGGCCTGTGCTCAGCTCTTCCTCTGAGGAAGACCAGATAGAGTATCAGTCTGGGACCTGTCCACTGAGGACAAAACACTCCTGATGTCTCTAGTCTTTACTTAGCTGATTGTTTTGCCTGGAGACAGCTCCAGGCCCCAGCCTCTGGAGACACAGTTCCCAGCTGAGGGATGGGTTGTTTTCCATGTTCTTTTTGGTGAAATCCCTCAGGGCATTGAAATTACAAAGCGAAGAAATTAGTTTAGCACAGTTTATTACAGATGACAGCACAGGCTGCAAAACCAACACAGAACTGTACAGAGGATTAGGGGAAATGTCTCTGCCAGCTGAGAGGCCAAAGTCCAAAACAGATGTGGTAAAGGACATGAATTTATGAGCCAAAAAATCATCAGCAAGGTCCCCATGAAAACCAAGTAAAAATAGTATGTCATGAATGCTATGTTTCCCTTTCGAAGTCATAATTTCTGTTTCTTTCCCTGCAACCCAGCAAGCTAGACATTTGAAAAAAAAAAAAAAAAAAAAAAACCAAACAAAAACACATAGGTGAGATTTCTAATGCCCTGATTCCAGAAACAGAGAATTTAAGAGAATCAGTACTTTGTCTGCAAAAGTGTTGTCAATACTGCCATCACTTCCCTCCTTACTTATAAGCCAGTAAACTTTGACTAGAGTAATTTAAACATATGCATACCTCATTTAAAGTTACTTAAACCAATCTAAACTGCAAGAGAAGCATCAATTTTACAAAGACTGGAGCACAGAGATCCTTGGGGCCTCTTTGGTTTTCTGTTGACAGGTTGTGGGTCTGTGAGTAAATCCCAGCCTTTTTCTGCCTTGCTGTTGGTCTCTGGTATAATTTCTATGCATTTTGGAGGGTAGTGACACAGACTGATCCCTGGCATGCCATGGGAGCTATGGAGGGAATGGGAGACATGATTACGGGTTTATTTGGAGATATGCATGAGTACCAGTTTCCTGTGTGGAAATAAAAGACCATAACACAAAGAAGTGAGCTTCATATTTTGCACAGAGTTGGCCCAGGAGCAGAGTAACAGCCTCTCCCAGGCCTGCAATGTAGAAAACTCTGCACTGGCTGGTACTGATGGCAGGAGGGCTACAGGAGGACCCTAAGGGACCCCCCCGGAAGGGCAGCCTCTGCTCAGGGAGCTGGCAGTCATTCCTTAGTGAAATAGAAATTCTGCATGTGGCTTTGCTTTCCTTGTTTGTTCCCTAGGGCTGTATTTCTTCACTGGCAACTGCTGAGAGCCTGACAGGTTCTCTAGATACCTTATTTATTTATGGACAAAAAACTAGGGAAATAAGGATGGTTCCTAAATGTGCTTCCAACCTCAAAGCTGGTCAATCGTTCCGCTATCAGGGCTGGTGCTGCAGCAGAACACACAGGCATGCTGATGCAGCTGACTGCAGTCGCTCAGGATTGAATCTGACTGGCTGGTTTTTGTGTCCTGGGCACAGATTTGGGGGCATAGTCCTTTTCTCATTGGCTTTAGGCAAGAAGCCTTCCCCCATCTCAGCTGAGTTAAAAGGGAAAACAAAGAGCTTGGTTTTATTTCCTGGAGTAGATTGCATACACTGACCATGGCATCAGAAAAGGTGAGAGTTGGAGGGTGGAAGGGTCCGGGAAAGCTTCCTTGGTGCTAGAGTTCAGGTAGAGAGAAATTGTCTGCCCTCTTGACCTTCATCTCAAACAGCAGGAGCTCTTTGTGTTTGGAAAGAGGCCTGGCCCTGCCCTGCATGGCTGGAAAAGCTTATTTCATGCAGCGCAAATACTCAGTGCAGATGCTCGGCACGATCAATGGGAAATTTGTTTAAAAAATCTAAGATGGGATAGAAGTCAGCAACATCTGATAGAGACAAAGAGGGAAGATTTGTAGGGGATAATTTTAAGATCACTTGTGCGTTCCCAGAAGCATCAGGCACAACTAAGTATTCAGAGGGCCAGCATGAAAGACAGTGATCTTTGCTACACCCAGGTACTTTCAGAAAGTCACTTTCAGAAAGGAGACCTCTCTCCCCCAAACATTGTTCTTCCCTGTTTTACAGTTCCTGAAATTCCTTCTGTTCATGCATTGTTCTCCTTGCAATACTCTGGTGTTTCCACCATATAACCACTTTATCTCTCTTTTCAGCCGATACTTTATAGCTATTTCCGAAGTTCGTGCTCTTGGAGAGTGAGAATTGGTAAGATCCAGTGTTGATCTCTCTTTTATTGGATTGGTGTTTTTGCGGTATCCTCTGCTTCACTAACCCGATTAATCAGTCACTGATAAAGAGAGAGATCAGCAAACAGGAACCTGGAAGTGTGAGGCATTTCCCGAGTGGGAGGGAAGGGAATACCACAGTTTACCTGGAGCAGGGGGGAAGGAGAGGAACAGACAGGAGGGCTTCACTCAGCCTGCAGCTAGTTACAGGGAATTACTCCTTTTGTAAAGCTAAGGTGATACAGATGGCTGTTTCTTCCACATTATCTAGAGGGGCCCTGCACTCTTATTTCACACAGATACTGCCTCAGACTCTGGTCTGCCTAGGTCTTGAGAGCTAAGCAGGGCTGGGAATGGTCCCTACTTGTACTGAGACAGTCTTACGCAAGGTTTTGCAGGTGAGCAGAGAGCACCCTGCACTCTGTAAGACGAATCAGGAAGGGTTGTGCCGCAAAGAGAGGTAAAGCTTCTGAAAAATGCAGTGGTTTTGCCAGGACTGATCTTTAGTCCTTTGGTCCCTCATTTGCCAGAGCACTGTCTTCTCAGTGGACTCAGGCCACCTTTCTTGAGGGATAGGATCTTTTTTGGTTTTAAAGCCATCGTTTTTTCAAATGGAGATGGTAACATTTTCCTGATCCCATTATCAATGAAAACTGTATGCCTGTCTGAAGCTGTACACTCTGCTCTCCCTAGCACTGGCTCTGAAAGGAATTTCCTATGACCTGGTGCCAGTGAACCTCCTGAAGGATGGGGGCCAGCAGGTAAGGATACAGCTACCATTGCTCTCTTCAGGGGGATTGAATTTGGGGATCATTAGGAGAATTGGGATTAGCACTTGAAAGTTCACAGGCAAAGTCACTGAATTCCTCACCATTTCTCTGCAATAAATAGTTACTTTCTGCCAGTATTCCCTGGCATGCAAGAGAAGAGAAGATGACTGCAGGAGACTAAAGGTCTTTTCCTCAACCATGTGACTGCATTTCATAAAGCTGAAGATCTCTGACTCCTGCTTAGCATGATATAAATGAGCATACCTGTTGCACAGACTTAAGAGAAGCCGCACGGCAGTTTAAACACAGACTCAACCACATTCAGTTAGCACCAGAAAGTGTGTGTGTCCAAAACATACTAAATGATATAGCAAAGGGCTGCAGAGGGTCTGCCAAAGGAAAGGGTGGGTTGCCAGAAGAGATCTTCACTGAGAACTTATCTGGAGGGTCATAGCATAGAGCTGTGCACCTAGTAGTTCCACCAGCTCGTTGTGCCAATATGGGCTAAGACAGAGTTGGAGAACTAGAACAGTAATAGTGACACTGCTGCAGTACCACTCATCCTGAGATTTGTATTGAAGGTTTGTCAAGAGGTAAGGAAGTCTGGCCCTGGATGTAGGGATCCCTGAGCCCCAGTGAGAACTTGCTGTAGGCTAATAGTACAGCATAACTTACTGCAAATATTAGTACTGAGGTAGAGGGAAAAGCCAGGTAAAAGAAATAAAATCATTTGGTAACTGGGTTCTAGGAGAAGAAAACAAGGAAGAATTTCTTGTTGCAATAATCTCAGGTTTGTTTCCACAGTTTTCTGCTGAATTCAAGGCACTGAATCCAATGCAGCAAGTCCCAGCCCTGAAAATTGATGGCATCACTCTTTCTCAGTCTGTGAGTTACTAGCCACATCCCTGTTAACCATTCCCAATGGCTTTGCCCCATCTTTTCCCCCAAAGCTCTCATCTGTGCATGGGAAAAGAGATGGCATTTGTGACACACAATCCCACCTGGGGGCAGAAATAGTACATAGCCTCTGCTGGGAAACTGCTGTCAAGGATTTCTCAATTCAGCTTTCACTGAACAATTTGTAGTCTGACTTAGATGGCTGTGCCAGGGCTTGCTGAAGTTACATCTGGGCTAAATGACAAGAAGGTCCCAAGCAGACATCAAAGGAGATATTCTGTAGCTTGGATTGGTAACAAACTTCATTCAAAAGCTGTTGTATTCTCTTGGATCAGCCCCCCTTTCCCAGATGTTCAGGAGGTGAACTTTTCCTTGGCTTTCCAAGAATGACCTCCCCTTATCTCTTTGTTCATTACAGCTAGCTATAATTCATTACCTAGAAGACACCCACCCTAACCCCAGGCTTCTGCCCCAAGATCTGAAGAAGAGAGCCCAAGTCAGAATGATCGCTGATCACATTGTCTCTGGCATTCAGCCACTCCAGGTATTGTCTTGTCACATCCATGCAAATGGGAAAACCAGGACAGGTTTCCAGGAGACTGTATCTCTGAAAAGCTCAGTCTCTTTAAGTTGTTGCCTGCCAATAGAGTGGCAGACCTTAAGACTGTGTTAGCAGATGAAATGTCTGCTCAGCCTCTGCCTGATTTGCCAATGGCAACAATGCAGTATTTCGTACAGAGAAAATCCTATAGCACCCCAGGGTTCTTTCCAGAAACAGCTGAACCCATATGGTTTCACTTCTGGATCTAGGATGTTTTAGGAAGAAGACAAGTGACAAACGCAAAGGGATATCCTGGCAGCTGTTACAGAAGGACAGTCCCAAGAGAGATACAGCAGGGTGCATGATTTGGCGAGGGTGAGGTCAGGGCTGAGCTCAGGCTGGGGGTTCAGGCTTGGCAACTCCTCCTCTCCCTTCTCCACTGGATGAGGCTTCGGGCAAGATCCAGTCTGCAACAGTCAATCTAACCTGGAGGTCGCTTGCATTTGCAGAACCTGAGCATCCTGAAACAAATGGGGGAGAAAAAAATGGAATGGGCTCAGAACTGCATTGCATCTGGCTTTCAAGGTACGTCCCACATCCGAAATGATCAGCACTTCAACTGACCCTTCAAAATGCTCCACTGCTGAGGTCCTACTTTCCTCTTCAAGCAGAGCAACCGATCTCCCTAGGCTGGTGTACTGGGGTCCTGCCCCACTGTCAGAGACAGTGCTCTTCCTGCCCAGAGTCCAGGACTGGTAGATCTCCAGGGTCTCATAGGAAAGATGCTGTCCACAGGGTGCTTCCACTACTGCGCATGGAAGAGGGGAAGCCTGAGGCCACCCTGTATACCACAGCAGTTGATTCACCCTGAAGCATGAGGGCTGACAGCACTTCTCCTTTCCACCCAGCTTCTCCCAAACTGGTGCCTTTTGCTTAAAGTTCTACCAGTCTATAAGTCTTTGTAATCAGACAAAAAAAATATCCGATGACAAACTCCTAGAGAATCTAGCAAGTATCAGAGTTTCTTTACCTCCCTGGGAGAAATAGGGTGGGTTTTTTTCCTCAAAACCCTTTCCCCTACGTGCTAGAATGGCAGTCCCATCTTCACTCCTGGACAGAAGGAAACTGGCTGAAACTTTGCATTTTTCCCTCCCCGCTCACATATCTCTAAATTGCCCTCTTAGCATTTCAGGTGCATTGCGTGAAGCAGCTGAAATTGCCCTGGGTTCCACAAAGCTGAAGAACCCTGAAGACTTTCATAACTATGCTGTTGCAAGATTTCTGTTCCTTCTAGCTTCTGTCCCAGATTGCTTTTTGATATTCATCTCAGAGTCAAAATGACCTTGTTCATAATTCCCAGTCTAGAAGGTCTTTGGTGTCCCTTCCAACTGAGTTTCCAATGCCTCACTCCAGTATACCACCTCTCTTGACAGCGCTGGAGCAGATTCTGCACCACACTGCTGGGCGCTACTGTGTGGGGGATGAAGTAAGTATCTCAGAGAGTGTTATGTACCACTGGAGAACTGAAAACAGTTTATTCCATAAAATAGGAAAGGAAATCAGTTGCGGAGACACAGCACAACCCCATCCTGTGCCTGGAGTTACATGCGGTGCCTTCACTGTAAGAAAAACAGCTGCATGGATCCTACTTAGGCCATTACTGACTTGCAGATAGTTACAGGAATGTTTACTTGTCCCTGCCTATAACCTGCTGATGGCGAGATTGTGCAGCTGTATGTAGTATCTGGCTATTACTAGAGTCTGGGGAAACAGATTATATATTTTTAATCTTTTAAGAGATTTGGAGCTCCGAGTGTCCTGTCACAGGGGCAAAGCTTGGCTCAAGAAACCCAGGTTCAGTTCTTAGCTCTGCTGTATGGAACTGTCCTGGCTTAAGCCCAGCCATGGGTTAAAGGTTTAACCTTTAACCGAGTTGTACTGTATGTTTCTGCTCCGTTTGTCCAGTTTTAACATGGACAGACCTGAGAGAGCTCACATACAAGCTGTTCTGACCCTCACCAAGCTAGAGGTCACTGAGGCCTCTGCCATTTAGTAGCGCTGTTTGGCGGGCAATTGGATCTTTCCTATAAAAGCCTGAGAGAAATGAAAGCTCCTGCAATACCCTGTGATGCAGAGGATTGTCTAGTAGGAGCCATATGGAACTGGAGCCCTTGGTGGGAAAAGGCTAGTTAGAGATCTTACACTAGAGAATAATGTGTGTTCTGAAAGGCACTCAGAGCTTTGTGACCAAGGGGTGGAGTGGGGACAGCTGCCTCTGTGCAGATAGGCACCTAGCTGTCCTTGAATCGTCTCTTCAGATTGCGAGTCCCTGAGCCTGTGTGCAAAGACCCTATCACATATCAGGTCTTGACTTTGGCAGGAGCTGGTTGATACTCCTGCAAAGCAAACAAACAAAATTTACTCATCTTTTTCCAGCCATGCAAACTCCCACCTCCCTCCACAGTTTGCCAGCAGACTTGTTTGCTCAGAGGCAGTTGCCACAGAAGCACTGTGTCCTTGAGGTCATCATGATCAGCTAGTAAACATGGGACTCCCTAAAGGCTGAAGGCTTCTTCTGCTAGTGACTGCTATGAAGTTCCTTTCCTTGTACCACTGTCATATTATTAATGCTGGATTAAAGAATGAGATTGTTGTGACAACTCCTATGTACTGGCTGATAAATAATTTATATCCTGTTCTTAAAGCCTGCCACCACAGTGAAGCGTGATGGGACAGGCTCTGATTTACTCTGACTCCTTTTCTCTGCTACATTTGCAGGTTTCCATGGCTGATCTGTGCTTGGTGCCTCAAATTTTCAATGCTGAAAGGTAATTAAGGCTAAGCTTGAGGCACTCTTCAGGCGTACCTACTCCTGGTGCTGGGCTGTCAGATCTTACCTTCTGCTGCTCCTTGTGCCTGTTAGGAAAGAATCCCTCCTTCCTGCCCTATCCAGTTATGGATTCTTCTCTGCATTCATTTTCCTATGTCATACATACTGTGTCTTTTGGAATCTCTTGTAAATATGGAGCTGTGCTCTCTTCTCAGAGGCCCCTGGAAGAAACCTGATCTATGTCCTTAGAAAATCTGAGGTTGCCTGCACTCCACATCCTCTCTCCCTGTTTGCCCTATATTTACACTGCACACAGGGAAAAGATTAATCTGACTATATTTGTTGAAAGATTGAAACCTATGCAAGTAGTGGCTGTGCGATTCCCAGGAAAAGCATAGTGCTTTCCTACCCTGTGCTGCACACTATGTAAAAGCCTAGTGAAGATGGAACTAACTAACCCTTCCTCTAGCATTTGTTTTTAAACCTACAAGGATTAAACTTTTCTGTTAATGCAAATGTACCCCAGCTTGTGAGATTCTCCCATACTGGGCCGGCACAGCACACTGCTCTGACCATCTGCTCACTGCTGCTCTGGCTGTCTGATTCACAGCACCTCACAAACTCTTTTCCTTTTACAGATTCAAAGTGGACATGGGCCCATATCCCACAATATCCAGAATAAACAAAGCTCTCCTGGAGTTAGAGGCATTCAAAGTAAGCCACCCATCCCGGCAGCCAGATACTCCTGCAGAGCTGAGAGCTTGAAGCCCTTCTACTCATTAAATCAAGTAAGCTGGAGCGTCAGAGAGGACAACAGCTACAGCTTAAGTAAGACTTTAGTGCCAGCAGGAAGCCCTAGTACTATTGTCTCACTTTCATCTGTGAGAAGGACAGAGGACCTAGAAGTAGCCTGGATGACTTACAGGAGCTATGTCTGTGTTGGAAAGCTTGCAGCTACTTCTGACTATGTTTATGTTTTTTCTACCTGATGTATCTCCATGAAGCAGATTAAAGCAAAAGCATCCATAATTATCATAAGTCCACCCTGTATGACTTTGGGTTGGGGAACGTGGCTACAAACAACTGTGAGGCATTGAACCAGTTCTGGACTCCCCACAGGGGCTGCTTCCTTCTACACCTACAGAAAGAGCATCAGGGAACCAGTGTACACAGTGTGCTACTAACCTTGCAGGCCTTCTTGTCCTTGCAGCTGCCTCAGAACTATGGCACAGTCATCAGTGCCATGGATATAAACAGCAAGAGGTAGTCTCTGACAGAAGACAGCTTAATCCTAACCCTTGTTGGGTCCCACGGGTCTTGCACGAGCCAACAGTCAGCAACTCTGCCACCCCTTGCAATGATAAGAGCATTACGACCTGGGACAGCTGATTTGTATCTCTTCCTTATGTCTAGCAGCAGTCTTGTGGAATTTATAATAGATGTCTGGCTAGAGCAAAGCTAGGTGGTTGTGCCATAGTCAGCAAGACACAACCAGCTCACTCCCATATGCTGAAAAGGATGAAGTTTTCTTCCTTTTTCCATCCCCAGACACTGCTCTAGGTGTTTTCCTAGTCCTCAGCTGCAGACTATTGCCCAGGGGAATCCCAACCCACATTCCCTCCAAACCAGAATCATGCCTGTACTTTCACTGCAAGGAGCTTCCCGGCAGCAGGAGTAAATCCTATTCCACTTATCACAAATGAAACCCAATACCTGAGTCACCTTCCGAGCTGAAAGCAACCTGGGAATTCCAGCCCAGAAACCTGTAGGGCAAGAAGGGAAACCCAGAAGCCTGTGTTCCTGTGGAGGCTCAGCTCAGATCCCACTGAATGTTTTGGCACCCAAGCCCAGGTACCAAGGCCAGGAATATGGGAGGGAATTTCTGCCAGTCTGATGCTGTAGATCATCTGCCCTAAGAGAACAATACTCACGGCTTTCAGAAAGACTTTACAAACCCATGATCTCTTCTGCCAAGGTAGTATTCACCTACATATAAATATTTGGACTGCCACGTTGCTTGGACACATTTATTGCCATCTACAACATCTGTGTTCAGGCTGGTAAAGAGCCCTTGCTGTTCCAGGCTCATTCTGAGTATTGTGCATTATCCTAGGTCCAGCTGAATCTTGACTGTGCTGTTGTAAAAGGTCCCAGCACAATTGGATCCCCCAAAGACCAACACCGTGCGCAGGTTATGCTCCTCTTTGTTCTCCTTGTCCACATCCATCAGGTGGGCAGGAGTCAGGTCAAGCAATGTGTGGCCAGCTCGGGGCACAGAGCAGAGGTCGTGGTGGATGACTGTGCTCCACGAAAGAGTATCTGAAGTAGAAGGGGGGCTATCAATACCGACAAGCCTATTCCTCATGCAAGGGATGAAACAAGTGCATCAAACGAAGTATTCAGAAACACCACTGCAACTCCATAGTCACCTTTAGCTATGGAAACGGGGAGGGAGAGTCACTCACCTAGGTGGAAGACAAAGGCATCCTGCAGGGCTCCCCTGGCATTGCAGCCTCCGCTGATCAGAACCTTCTGGTCTGACACAGCCAGAGCTGCATGAAAACTGCAACCAAAGCAAAGCCGAAAGGTGAATACAGCAAAACCTGCTGGGGTTGCCTCAGTCAGCAATGGGCAGGGGTGAGCAGACTTCAGCAGGAGGCTGGGGGCTTAAGCTTCAAAAAAGGAAATTAACTTCTGCTTCTCTTCTGCCCTGACTCGCTGAATAACCCTGAAAGAGCCATTTGTTTGCCTCTGCAGGTCAGGCCATAATCAGGTCTGAGAAGCACCTCATTATCTCAGAAGGAGCTATCAAAACTCCTATGTTTTGCTCTATGGGGTGAGATAGCAGGCTATCTGGACTTTGGTCTGATTTAGGTCATTGTTCTAGTGGGCAATAGTGTCCCTTTAGGAACAGCATAATCCTGGTACGAGAGTTTCTTCCTTTCTGTGTGTCTGTTGTACTCCAGGTACTGTGGAGACCAAAGAGCAGGCAATGCAGCTCACTAGCACACGGCGGAAAACTTGCCCTAGCCTGAAAGGCAGATTTCCAGGGAGATTAAGGGGCCTACACCCCCTCTATACTACAGGCACCAACTAGGACAGCACAGGAATCTCTGGTCCCACAGGAGAGGGGCCACCCGCTGTACTTTGACTGGTGGGACAGAGATATGCAACTGGGTCTGATCACAAGCACAGTTTAAACCTGGCTTCAAAGAGAAAGGAAAGAGGAAGAAGATAGCTCCTGGGTCTGCAATAGGGTCTCACCAACGTGCAGAAGGCTGTCCTGCGAGGAGAGGCACTGGTATGTATTCCATGAAACCTGACAGCCAGGGGAAAAGCAGGTGAAACATCCAAAAGGCTCAGCCTCATTACTAGACAAAAACTTCCACGCTCTGCCACATCACCAATGTGCATTCTCTGTTACCCAGCTTCTTCCAAAAAAGCAATCTCTTGTTTTTCCCCATTCCCTCCCCTCTTACACCAGAAAGGGTTTTCTACCCCAGTTTTCTATCTCTGTTGCCTAGTCAGGAGTTTTTACAACATTAATGCTACCTTCCCATCAAGCATGCCTCATTCCCCAAGTCCCTGCCTTAGAACAGACCTTCCCCCAAGGCATCCACCTGGCACAGGCTTTCTTACCCAGATCCAGGATGTGCATGTCACTGAGGTAGAGAGAAGTCCTCCGACCCCCAAAAATCAGCAGCTTGTTCTTCAGTAGAGTAGCTGAATGCCTGGGCAAAGAAGCAGCAAGTGAACAAAGTATCCTCAGCAAGTTCCCAAAACTGATGTTTTAGCCTTGGCTTCTGCTATTGGGCTGCCATAGCTTCAGTCTACACCTGCCCCTACCCCCAGTCACCACAGCCCAAGGACAGAATCCCGTCAGGATTCATGACAGGAGGTACTGGGAGTCACATTGCTCAAATCATAGCCCTATCTTAAGGAGCAAACTGTGGAGAACAATTGCCTAGTATTTAGGAAATTATACTGGGGTGGGAGGGCAGGTGAGCAGAGATTTCGTGCTCTATTTTGGAGGGCTGGAATAAGAGCACTCTCACCCAAACCTAGGTAGAGGCTTCTCCCCTTCTGAGATGGGTTGGTACCAAATTTCATGCTCTGGATTGAACACATAGAGCACATTGCTGCAGGGTCCAACTGCCAGTGATGCCTTTTTGGGCAAAGTCCCTCCGAAAACAAAGAGCTCCTTGCGGTAGATACTTGCACTGTGGTAGGTAAGCGCTGGCATCCTCCCTTTAGCCTGGAAAAAGTTCAACATAAATTTGTTACAAGAAGTGCATTATTTGCTGCATGACCCGTATGAAAGGGGCCCACATCATCCAGTAAGTTTGGTAAGTCTCAGTTTTCACTTTGTTGGCTCCCCAGCCAGATCTTTGCCACACAGGCAGACAGTACATCCTTTGTGTACTCTGCACCACCAGAATGCTCTGATGAGAGAAGGAAGTCAACCTCCTACCCTTGCTTTCTCAGAAGACAACAGAGAACAGAAAGATCTCATCCACACTTATTCTGTAAAAGCTGTCTTGTGATTTAGCCAGAAAAGAGACAGATAGACCCTTCCTGAGAGGGCCCTCTGCAAGGACATGATAGGCAACTGAAGAGCTCAGAGATCCGCTGTGCTCAGAGCAGTCTCTGATTCAAGAAGACCAGCTCTTCACCTCAGCATCCAGTGCAGCTCTCAACAGCACCACATTAAATGAGAAGCCATTTCTATCTGCCACTTGTATAGTACCTCCCACCCATGACCTGGGTCAGACACAGCACTCTGCAGCAACCATTTTTTCACCTTGCTTCATTCATTGTAGGCACAGCCCCTGGTTTCTGCCAAGCTTGTGGCCCTTCAACATAGCCTTCTTATGTCTGTCAATCACAACTAAGCAGCTCAGACAACCTGCAGCAACAGTGAACCAGGACTACTAGAGTAAGGATACAGGCACATCAGTTGCCACATTCAGACAGGACACCCCTCTTGTGCTTTTGTCTTTGAAGAGCTGCAGTACTTACAGCCATGAGGAGCCATTTCCAGGTGACTGTGTCCAGAATGTAGATGCCACTGTAGTCTTTGTCCTCTCTTATACCCCCAAATATGTAGATACGCTTGGTGTCTGGGTCATAGGTAGCTGTGTGACCACGCAAGCACAATGGCATGGAGTTTTCTTGCTGGAAAGCCACTGGGAGCCAGAAATCACTGTCTGTGGGATCAACACCAGACAGATGGTATGGGAGTTCAAAGATGCTCTCTTATTTCTCCAGATTTAAAGAATATGTAATAAAAATCTTTACTCAAGACCTTGATCCCTTCATCTCCTCCTCTCCTTTGATTCAGTGTGAGAGGGGACTCATACAGAAATGTTTCTGTGTAAGGAATGAAGAGGAACACTAACTAGATGGGGAACAGTAAGGTGGAAAAGATCAGTGAGGTGCAGAAAGCTGCAAGGCACTGGAATCGTATCTTACTTCACCACCAGTCATCACACACAGACTGCAAACAGCACTGTTGCTTTTACCCCTTAAAACTCACCCAATTTTTTCCAGAACTTATACCTTAGTACCTGGAGGGCTCTCACATACAATCCCACAGCCTCTCATGGCACACTACGCTGTCAGCTCAGCCTGGTGACCATACTAGGAGATGTGAGACCTTTGCTGTCCCCTCCCTATGCACAGACCCCTGAGTAAACCCTCCCATCTGCATGAATTGTCCTCAAGCCCCACTGCCCCCACTGCCTTTGATAGCCCTGAAGCCCTCACCAATTTCCAGCTTCCAGAGTGCATCCTTGCAGGACTGCTGATTGAGACCTTCTCCGCCGATCAGCACAGCTGTCCCCAGGTCACTGAGGCACATGGCATGGCACCACCGTGGGCTGGGACTGCCTGGCAAGGGGAGAACACAGGGCTGTGAGCAGTCAGATGAGACACCGCCAGCTCCCTTCACTTCTGGGGAGAGCAAGGCAGCTGAAGACTCAGAGGGGGAGAAATGGGAAGGCAAAGGCCTCAGGTCCCTTCCCTCTGGCGTGGCAAGAGACATAGCTCCCCAAGGATGATTTTCTGTTGGCTGTACTAGGAGAGACATCACTAGCAGAGGGAAACAGCAAAGAGTCTGGCTGAACGTAAGATTCACGCAGACTGACACTTCAGACAGGGCTGGATGCCCCATATTGATTACCTGTCCCCAGAAAGGATATCCCGGTTGCGCTATCCCCGTGTTACTCCTTGTGAGGGAGGGCTGCCCAGGAACAGCTTGTTAGTGCCTAAGATACAGCAACCAGAAGCCTGGAGCTGCTTCCAGAGATATTCCTCATGCTGCTCTGTTCCTCCGCCTTTCCTCTCCCAAGCCCCTGCAGTTGGCTGAGCAAGCTAAAAAATACTTTTTAATCAAAGTCTATTCCACATCTTACCCTTTGCCTTCAAAGGGCTATGCATCCAGAGGGTGTGTGTGAGTTTCAGAGGGGCTACAGAGACGCATTGGAAAGCCTGACAGTACTGGAAGCACCTACACTGGGGGTAATTGCATGGAGAGGAACAGTATATACACACAACCTACTTGTTATTCTTGATCACTGGGAGATAAATGATGAAGCATGAGAGGCCTGTGACATTAAAGGGAATGGCATCACCAAGTGACTGAAAAGACAAACCAGGGTCTAGGAACCAGATCCTCACCTTGCAACTCCTCCACTGCCAGATCTGCAGAGGAAACAGAGATGGCCCCATAAAGAAAGAAGCAAGCAGACATACCCTAGAAAGTGCTCAGCTCCAGAATGCCCTTTGGCATTCCTTCCCCCAAGCCCCAGCACAAAGCTACCTCACTGCAACAAACAAGGTGTAAGACCAAGAATCCTGAAGAAAGTCTCATCAGAAGAAATGTAGAAGACAGGTAAGATCAGGGCACTTCGACTGCCATCATGCTGTCACAATTGCATTTTACTGCTCTGATAGAAGCTCATTTCCCCCCTCCTCACACTGCCTACAGAGGAAGTGACGTTATGATGGAGCTATATTTGCCTTTGTGAGAAGCAAGCCAAGTCCCAAGAAGTCACTTAACATGGAGACCACTGAGTTACCATCAAACATTCACACACAAACTTGGTCATACCCTGAAGCTGACTTGGAATTCATGCTCCAGAAATAAAAGGTTTTGTTCCCCAAATCCTTGGCAGCTATCTTCTCACTACTGAAAAGTCAGTGTAATTATACTAATTGTACATATATTCCTTTTCATATTATCTGTTTTTTAATGATAACCGATGTCTTTTATGGACCATGTGTACGCTGTTAGTAGGGTAATGAACAGACTACTTGAGAGGTTACAGAATGTCACAGTAGTTAACTTTCTTGTGCCTCAATTTACTCTTTCGTAAAAGAAGGCTAACGATACTTGCCTTCATTTATAAAGCACTTTTAGTCACATGAAGAGATAGGCACATTATGTTATGGTACAGAGTATTGGCACTGAAAGTATCCCATGTTCTATTTCTGGCCTCTTCCCAACAGGCAAAAATTCATCAAGCAGTTTGTCCAGGACTAAGGAGCAGTTCTCCATATTTTGCAAGCCAAGACAGACAAGCCCATCTTGCGTTGGAGGTATACGGAGAAATGGACTGGGAAGTTGTTGCCCAGCAGCACTGACAGATCCTTCAGACAAGACCTGTAAAGTAAACTTGGAAGCTGCCACAGTTACCTTCTTCATCGAGGTCTCTCTCAAATGCTGTGGGTTCAAATAAAACTTTCCTGGGCATCTTGGAGTGGACAGTACTCTTCCTCCAGACCTCATTGGGTTCCACCTTGCCAGATGGTGACTTCAGGGCACAGGGTACCACCAGGGTCCTCAGTGGTGGGGAGATGTCCTTCCTCCTAGGCCTGGATGCTCCATCTGTCACCTCTGAGCTCTGACTCTTAACCTGTGACAAGAGTCCCAGCCAAATCAGCCCTGAAGAAAAAGACTTGAGGCTACTGTGAGGTGTCTATTACAGGGCCAGAGATTAATTTCACGTGATGACTGTTTTCAGGCTCGTCTTCCAGCTGAGTCTTAAGGGCCAGCATGCCAACTGTATCAACGACCAAATATATGCTAAGCAATGAAGCTACCTGCTGCTTCATGCCCAATGGTCCACTTCCAAACTGCTGGCTGCAACGGGCACAGCTAGCACAAGGCAACTGGAAAGGCAAAAAGGCAAAAAAGCCATCTGTGCTAGGGGTAACCTGGCTGACTGATCATTCCATCAAGGGCTGTTAAATTCAAAACTTCCAAAGGCATTTCAGTGGAGAATATCACTTTCTTTAGCACAAGTGAATCTCTGCCTCCAAAACTTGCTTAGCCAGGTCTCCACTAAGAGAGCAGCAGCAAATGTTTCTGCTAGACATCAACTGAGCAGCTGTGAGTGAGGGAGAAGATACAAAGGAGAGGGTGAAATAACAAGAGGAAGGCTCCAAGATACACATACCACAGTAGGATCCTCCAGGTCCTGGTCAAGGGTTATATCATCTGCTGTGAGTACTGGTGACTGGGTGGTCTCTGGGACGAGGAAGGAGTGGGTGGGTGTACTGCTGGAGACACCTCGCAGAAGCTGCGGCAAAACCAGTAACAGTGAGAATAAAAGGATGCACCAAGTGTGTTGGCCTCCATCCACAAAGGGTGAGCAAAAAGATGTCTTGCAAGGGACAGCAAGGGAATAGCCCAGCTTTCATCTCCAACACCAACAGAATAAACAAAGAAAAGCAAAGCCAGGGGCTGGGAGACACTAAATCCAGCGGCTTCAGCACAAGATAAATGAACTGTGTAAACACCACAGACCCAGGAAAGAGTGGAACTAGAAGTAAACCACTCTCTGCTACCCATCTCCTGCAACACGAGGTGTTTTAGCAAAGCTGTAATGAGGGAATAGGCCTAGAGCATCACAGAGGGCTTAGGCTCAGCACAGACACACATTAACAGATCCACGAGGCGGCTCTATCTTGAAGTAGCAAAGAAAAGGAAAAGGAGAGGATGGGAGAGGAAGTTCTGTAGCTCAGAAATGACAACGTGTGGGACCCAGGGCAGAAAAAGAGGAGGATGTTAGTTCTTTTACCTGTCCATTGACAGTCAGAACAAGCTTCACAGTGTTGCCTTTGTCCCTGTCCTTCAACGAGGCCATGAAAATATCAGTCCTCCAGTTGCCTTCCCACACCAGAGACCTGCACAGGGGACCATGGGTCTTCAGCCCACAAGTGACACTGACCAGTGAAAAATTCCTGCTCCCACGCTAGCTGGTACCACCCCAAAGCCGAAAAAGACCCAGCCCTGAAAGCAGCCAAAAGGAAGCTGAAAGCATCCCTAAAGAGAAACACCATAGCGGAGGACCAGCAGGCCTGAGCAGCTTTGGGATGACACCAGCAGAACCAGGCAGCTTTTCCCGGACACCCCGGCTCCAGCCACGACCTGCGAGTGGGCTCCAGCGTGCCGATCCGCTGCGGCGCGATGCCCGGGGACACCAGCACGTCCACCGCAACGCTTGTGTCCGGCGAGTAACAGCTCCAGTCCCCCAGCCCGAACACCACCAGCTGCTTCGGCAACGGCACGGGCAGCCAAGCCTGGAAACCCATCTTGCTGGACTGGCTTCGAGGGGAGGGAAGAAAAATAAAGATAATCGTCCAGGAGTAAAATGGAAGGTCAAACAAAACGTATGAAAAGGCTTGATTTATGCCAGGGGAAAAAGCAGTATCCTGGGAAGGGAGTGCAGCCCCGCGGGCAGGGGCAGCTCCGGAGGGGAGAGGGGAGAGGGGAGGCGTGCAGGTCGCCCCCGGTCCGCCGAGGAGCCCACCCCTAGGCAAGGCCGGGGCCGAGCCGGCCCCTCCGCAGCCCCCGGGGCTGCCCCTGCCCGGGCCGGGCCGGGCCGGGCCGCACCTGCCGAGCCGCCGCGGCGGCTCCCGCAGCGCCCACAGCACGTAGAAGGCGAGGCCGCCCTCCGGGGCGCTGCCCCCCGGCCTGGGCCGGGCCCGGCGGCTGAGGGGCAGCATGGCGGCGGGCGGCTGCACGCGCCCCAGGCTGCGGCCGTTAAGGCGCCGCGGCGCAGCCGGCCCCCCCCCCCGCCTCAGCCGGGCCCCCCCCCCCCGCCTCAGCCGGGCCCCCCCCCCCGCCTCAGCCGGGCCCCCCCCCCGCCTCTGCGGCAAACGGCGCTCACGGCCGCGCGTCCCTGCTCGTTCGTCGATGCCTAAATGATGGCATCTGTACGTTTTTCTTGTAGCTCTCGTAAAAAGGAGCAGGTGTGAGACTTGCTTCTCTTATTCTGCTGTCAGGTCTGCCGCGAAGAGGAGGCAGGATGGCGGCAGGTGCTTTGCAAACAGTAATTAAATCTGCCTGTGTGTTACTACAGAGACTCCACTGTGTATCCAGTACCACATGTGTAACAGTGAATAGCTCTGCTAAATTCAAAACTGCTGTTGATAAACAAACACCACTAAATTGACAACAGGGCTTCGGCCACCCAATATTCTCTGTGTGTAGCTGAAACGGGGAAGAGCCACTTCCCAGGCAGGGCCAACAAAACCTGCCACAAGACTTTCACAGAGCAGCTCACGATCAGTGTTTCTGCTGCAGCCCAACGACAAAAATTACAGAAAGGGTGGGAAAGAACTAACATAGTGAAATTCCACGCCACTTCCTGCATCCCCACCAAGTTGCTTAGTTTTCCTCTTGGCCATATGCCCAAATCAAAGTGCAAGGACAGGGATTCATAGAGAGCACATGGTAATCAAACAGCTGTAGTGCTGTTTCTCTTCAGTGGTCTTAAAATGAGATGAAACATCTTTAACCTGGCAGAGTCACCTATCCCTTTGATCAGCTTGCTTTATGGTTGCTCCTGCCCCTCAATTGTTTTATAAAAGCGCTCCACATAAACACAGAAGCAAATGAACTTCTGCAGCGTTTGTCCTGCTGAGCTTTGTAACAAGACAGGTGAGGAAGGAGGGCTCAGGCTGCAGGTACCATTCCTCATGTTGACCAGCAGGTGCTTTCTTCAGGCCATGTAAATATAGTCTTTGTAGTAAGATAAAGTTGAGGGGCAAGTAGCTATGAAGGGCAAACACTTTTCTCAGGGTAATTTAATCAGTACCTGGTAATTGAAGAGATGTTTTTAATCCTTCACATTGAAAGCTGAAGTGATGGAATAGCTAGCTATAGGGGATCTCTGTAAATGGAGGTGAAAAGCACCAACATGAAACACAGGAGGGTAAAGCATTCAGACTCTACTTGTGTCCATGGTATGAGCTTGGCTACTTGCTTGTTCTTCTCGAAATTATGCTGAATGCCTGAAGAATTTAAGTTTTGCAGAGAATTTGTAGAATTAAAAAAAAAAAAAGAAGAAAAAAAATAATCTCCCAGCAAGTCATTTTACTGACAGAAAGTTTCCTGGCTGGAACCATCATCACCAGCTCACAACAGAGCATTTTCTTATCCATTTGTAACCAGAACGTCCAGTACACTGCAAAGTACATTTTGAGTATTTGTCTCTTTTTTTCCTCATAAAACTAAGTTTAATGGTATTTGTTCGTTTTTTGGAGAGTTTGTAGTTCAGTTTTTCATATTAAGACACTCACTTGCTTTCAACAGAAGACAAGAGTTCTTGGTTGCATAGTGAAAAGTTTATTTAAAGGGAATAAGTTCCAATATACTATTACAAATCAGCCACAACACATCAAATATAAACCATACAAACCAAGCATAGGAGGAGTGCAAGCACACTATAGTTTTCATATGTGCCCTTCAGCAAGAGGTTCAGTGCGACATTTCGTTAAAATATCCTCTCCTCCATTGGGAGGACATGAAAAGCAAATGGTTGGCACCGTGAACTCAATTTTGAAATTACAGGACATCAAAAATATTCACATCACATAGATAAGGACTGACAGACAACCATCACAGTTCACAAGAATATAGGTCTGAAAAAGGTATGAGCAGCTACATGATGCTCCCCATTGAAAGCCTATGCTAGCAGCTTGGAGCAGCGAGTTGAGAGCAGACTGCTTTCCTCTGAGAAGAGCAGACAGTCACCAGGGACATGCTGGAGGTTGCAGGGAGACGATGTCCAGCTATTTATAATTTCCAAATGCTGCTCTTAAACTTCAAGGCCATTACTTGGCAAAGCCTCCTCACCTCTGAGCTTAATGGTTGGCATCCAGCTTCTTGCCCAAGGGATTTGACTCATCAGTCCAGATGAGCTTAAACCAGATAACCTTCACCGATGGATCACAAAATTCTTCCTATCTCCCTGCCCGATAAAGCGTGCGCTTCTTGCGATGAAGCTTCTGAGAAAGCAACATGTAAAATCTAGAACAGAATGCAGAAAAGTCAAGGGGAGTCAGAGCCACTGTCCACCCGGCCTGATGTTGCGTCTTCAGCTGCAACAGCACCAGTGTTTCGGAATAAGTTGCCAGATAGTCTTTGGAAGAAAATGTGGAATAACCCCACAGAAAATTCTCTTCTTAGCAAGATGTATTTGAACTCTGCTGTTTCATGTACCTTCCAAAACTTTATTTAGTTGATGTTTACTGCAAATCAACTTATTTGGATAAATGACTTAGCACTTTGACTCCTGATAAACTCCTGGCTTCTTTCACAGTCTAATTAGACAATGTATTTAACACAATCAATTCCCAGTTTTTCATTCTACCAATTGACATGTTCTGCTACATCTACATGACATTGCCACATCCAATATTTTCACAGATAAGAGAAAAGAAGAAACAGGTTTTGGGTTTTTTCTCCACACCTGTAGATGAAAAACCACTTTGTTGCTTTGGTCTCTTATCCAGCTTCAATACACATAGGCACACACCACTCTCAACACTGGATTCAGACACTCTTTTTAGAGAAAACGATGAATGGCCATGAAGAATGCTCTTCTATGTCTGTCTAGTGTTCCTCTGGTCCTCAGGTTTAGCATCAGCATATCAAAAGTAGTCCTCTGGTGTGCTTCAATATCTGACAGCAGCATATGATTTTAAAAGGCAAAGATCTTATGCTTGCCAGGAAAATCAAAACACCATTCTGCTACTCATCTTACAGCATCAAGGCAGTCTCATGAACAGCTTAAATCTCCAGGAACAGCCTACAGGGCCTATCCTTGCCTGACCTTAGGAGGTGCCTCCCCTCTATCCAAATGGGCAGAGAAACAAGAAGAAATCCCTTGGGTTAATGACATCTATGGCTCTTATTTCAGACATGCTCCTTGTTCCTAAGGCACCTTGTGATAAATCATCTGTAGAGTGGCATTAGTAGGAGTAGTGAGACAAGAAGGAAGGCTATAATAAGCAGTGGGGATAAAAGTGAAGTCATTTAGGGATTCATTCTCTACCCTAAATCCCCACAAGAATTAATAAGTCTTTCAGCAACTAGACATGTGACAATGTTTACCTCTAACCCATCCCCACCAGGTCCAGCACCACAATAACTGACCCACTGCAGGCCACAGATGAAGGTTACAGGCACCTACAGTTACACAGAGACAAGCACAGAGGGTAGAGCCTGAAAAAAAAGGCATGTGGCTGTCTTTTAGACTCAGTTGCATAGTAACTTGACTTTCTTAGCACCTGACGTCAGACAACTAAGCTCTTCCTCTTATGCATTTTCATCTTACCTGTTCACGTGAACAGCTCATTACCAGTAATAATCTGTGTAACTATTAAATGGGTCCCAAGCATTAATTTGCAACTAGCCTATGTCTGACATTAATAACCTTTCACAAGAATCCATATTATAGGCCTCCAAAGAGTAAGTTAAATCAGAAGTGGTCCCTGATTTAAGCAATTTTAGCTTTGTCTTCAGTAAAACACATATATTTTAAATTCCTGCTGCTACATTACAACTAAGGGGGGGGGGGGAGAGAAAACAATGGAGAGCTTATGACCTTCTTTGACATTAAAAAAGTCTAACAGATTGTTAGCATTATTACTAAACAAACAATTATACAAGTTAATTTTTATACATGTCCTGCCTACAGGACTATCGTATATCTCTGGCTGAACATGTGAATCTCATATCTAGATCTAAATTATATTCAAAACAAAATGGAAAGCAATTTTGTGCTTTCACAAAAGCAAACCCAAAATGCAAAAGAAGCTTCTTCCTTGATTTAGCTTTTTGAATTTCTAGACACAGTTTGCAGGGAGATGAAGCACATTTTAAAAACCTATCTGAAATCTTCCTTCTGCAGAAACAAAGAAAGAATTTTCCTTTCTCAAGGATTGATTTCCCTCTCTGAAGTGCAACAGCCTTTTTAATTCATTTTTCTTTCTAGACCTAAGGTCTAGTTCCAAAGGTCTCCAATTAAAATAAGGGTTTCCATCACTGCCTCAGCCAGATAGCAGGATTGGATCTAAATCCAAGAGATACACCAAAGTGCAAAAAAAGGACACATGAGAAATAAGATTACTTCTTTGAACCAGCTATGAGTTCTACTTTGAATGGGAATGGCTGCTGTTAATCACTAGCCACACAGCCAACCACTGGATTTATCAGAAAATGAATAATGACTATATACCCTTCCAAAGAGAAGTTGTCACTTGGATAATGAATGCTGTCTGAATACCTGAGAAACAACACACATGTAATGTGGAAATTAAAAACTAAACAAAAAGAAGAATCATCCTGTACAACTGTGAAGCTTCTGTTTCCTGCAGATTAAATATTCTGTGCCTAAACCTATCATGTGTTCATAAGAGATACCAGATACTTCTGGGAAACAAGCAGTGAAGTAACACACACTGAACGCTTTTGGTTCCACTGCCACAGGCCCATCTGTGGGCACACTGCATTTGCAGAGCAGGCACATGCTGATTAGAATGACACACCATATTCAGTGCTGCTGTTGTGCTTAAGTCAAGGAAAACAGGACATGGGCACAGATTCCAAACAAGTGACCTGAGCCTTATTAGAGGATTGGTCCGTACTTCAGAAAGCTAGAACTGAGCAGTAGGATTACCACCTACAGTGCAACTTAACTAAAACCATTAACTAGTGGTTTGAAAACCTGGCACATACTTATTTGTGTCAGTGAGTGATAAAAACTGATTGTGAGACAGGCCTTACTAACTTCTTACAACATGACAAAATGTGTTTCGAACCTTAATATGAGCAACAGACAGACAGGAGGGAGAAGTAGCTGTGAGTTAGCAACAGGGAAGCCACACTAAAGGAAAGAGTTTTTTAGTGGAGATAACCCATTAGCCTGCAATAAGCCGTGCAACTGAGGATCAATAATTCTGGAATATCTAATATATGTACAGGTCAGTTCCCTTCATTGTAAATAAATCCTAATTAGAAAATGGAGTGTGTGCCAGACAGCGCATCATACATTAACCAGCAAGTGCATGCAGGGTTCTGTGGATGTCACAGCAAAGGACCAAAGGCAATCACTGAGGGGAGCAGTGCTGACATTATGGTCAGACTGATGGGTCTTTTCTATCTTCTTCTGTTTAGTGTGTAGGAACTTGACAGACAAAGGATGAAAAAAAAGGAGAGCGCCTTACCCAGGTTACTCAGGCCTGATTTAAGTGCTGTACAAAAGCCACAGGATAGTCCTTCATCTTCCCCAAGACAGGCTAAAGGAAGGAATAGTCCTCTCCAAGCTGCTAAATGAAAGAGCATCTTACTCTGACAGATACCAAGCCCTACTGTTCTGGCTCCCTGCAAGGTTGTCCTCTGGTTGCCCCTGCTTGAACAAGGCAGCTTTGCAGTCTGCCCCCCTGCCCAGATGCACGCTCTCTCTCTCTCAAGATGGCTGTTTTCTCCCCATCTCAGCGCCCAAAGCAGCAACAACTCTGCTCGCTGCCTGCTCACCCAGAAAGCCACTGTGCTCTAACCAGTGTTCTTTGTATTTCCACTCCTCCTGCTGCCACCTTGGGCTGCTCTACTGTAGCCTTAACTGCTCTCTCCCTATTTTGACCTAATAAGTGCTCTGGGGCAGGGAATGAGTAAGCAGAGATAGTTAAAAGAAGAGCTTGAATATGGAGCAAATTGCACAGCATTACAATATAGTCTTAATAGGAAATATGTGGTCTTTCTATGAGAGTGAAATCTTTGGCTTTAACTACCCCAAAATCAGTTTTGTCCCTTCATTCCCTCTCAATAGAAGGAATGGATCAAGTAGAGGTGCTTTACCTGGAGGATTTAAAAATAGAACTCAGAACTCTGCTAGAATCGCTATGCTAACAGCCATTTTGTGTCCCTGCAAAGAGGTATCAAAATGTAAATACAGCAGTATTCTTAGAAAAGAGAATGATTTCAAGTTAAAAGTATTAAAATAAACAACAGTTACAGATAAACGAGTTAAAATTCATCTCTGAAGGATTAACTTAATCCTCGTTCAGCTCTGCCAGTACTCGAGCAGAAGGCGATCATCAATGCCACCGCTAGCCACCAAAACGTGCCAGAGAACTCCATCCTTTACCACGTGGTCAGGGGTAGCAAGGCCTCGCTGATTTTGGCTCACAGAAAGGACTGGTTAAATCCCACACCTTTCGGGTTTCTGAGCAGAGATGTTATTTTCTAACAGTATCTTTGCAACAGCAATAGCAGCTGACAAGCTACACTTCTCTGGGGAGCCTTTTCCTTGCTACATATGGTATTATCCAGCTGGCAGCAATACCAGTGAACCAACATGCTGCTACTAAGAAACATTTCCTGTATATTTATTGGTTGTACTCCAACCTTCTGGTATTTATCCAGCACAGGAGTAAGTAATTGCTTCTGCTTCACATCTGGATTACAGAAAAAACTTTTGGTGGTCACTGAAGTTTTAATCATCTACATAGCCCTACAATCAACAGGTGTAACATCCAATTCTTAAAGTGTAGGAAAACCTTCTTATGGACTTCCAGGTATGCACCCTCTCCCCACTCCCAGTTCAAACACATGCCGTGACTGCAGTTGAGGGCCACTGGTTGAGCACGGCTTAGCCACTGCAGCAGGGGCTGCCGCGGGGCAGCTGCACCCCCACCCACACGAGGGAAGGAAGCACTGGCTGCTGGTGAGGAGTAGTGGTGGTAGGTGATGAGATTATCAGTGGCTAAGTGACAAACCAGCTGTGCTTTTGGCTCACTGCAGCTGACAGCTGCCCTCTAGTGATGCAGATGCAGCAGGAGAGTTGGAAAAAAGTTACTCACAAAATGGTAAGAGATCAAGAGTATTTTCACTTCATTTTGTACCAGTGCAAGAGATTGAAACCACGAAGACCTGAATCTGGCCTCCGGGCATTTACCGGCTGTGAGATGAAGGCCCAGCCTGATGCCTGCACAGAGCAGACCTCCCGGAGTTTTCCAGAAAGAGCAGCTGCCTGTGGACAGCCAGGCAGTCACAGCTACCTTTCTCCACTGGGACAGAGGGAAAGGAGGGTGTGGGGAGAAACCAGTTAGTGTCTGAAGAGGAGCTGGCAGAATTGTGCCTTGGTTCTGTCACACAGCAGTGCCCATCAGGCAGTACCAGGACTGGGTGGCAGCCTGCTACACTCACCACTGCCTGCCTGCCGTCCCTGCCCCTTCCTGTTTCTTCAGCTAGTATAATAGACATGAAAGAACAGAGTCTTATTGCGGAGAAGAGAGTACGAGTTATCAAATTTCAGCAGGTAGATGCCCTCGCCTGGGTACTCGTGGCTGCCTGCCTGCACCTCCCGATGGCTGTTCCTCCGGTACACGGGCATGATCTCTCCGTAGCGGTTCCGCAGATAGCTTTTGGAGCCCCTTTCCACGTCACCAACAGGGGCGAGTCCTGAATGGGAGAGAGGAGACAAGTAAGTAGGACAGAGCCAGTTAAGCGTCTAGGTAGTCCAGAAAAAGATCAACAAGACCAGAATGCAGCAGAGCCATGCAGATATATGGAAGGCTAACTATGACAGCATTACCCATAGTGTCTGCTCTGACCCTTCTGCAAATCATACCCAAAGTCCAGCTTTCCTGATCATGACAAAGGACATGCCAAGAACCCGTTCTCTTGGGAATACTGAGGGGACAGTATCCACTTCTCTGCCAGCCTGGTCCTCTCTCCCTGGACTTACCTTTTAGACACCTCACTGCTTTTATACACACAACAGTGGTCCAGTGATATAGACTTGAAGAAAAAGAAAGGCGGGAAAGCTCTTAGCTATAACCTCACTGTGTTTATATCCTCAGTTCACTTCTCCAAGATGACTCCTCATACAGGAACCTACCCCTCTTCGGAGAACTTGCAAAATGAATTTCAGACACCAACCCTCCAGCTATAGTGGTCACACATACACTGAAGCCACAGAACAGGCAACACTGCTGTGTGTTTCACCAGTATGAAGACATGGGTGGCAGTCCTCTCAAATGCAGTTGGCAGCAGCTACTGATGTACTGGGAAAAAAAGAAACAACTACACAAAAAAACCCACAGGAACAAAATGGTTTTGCTCATACTCGCCACCAGAAATTTCTCAGTCTGAGAGGCTAAGAGAAACACTCAGGTTAAAATTTTGGACCCTAATCTTTTTATTAGATAGAAGCTGAACAAGTGATTTCTGATTTTATTTTTCAATGCGTTCAATTTTAAGAACACTCTTGGAGAAGGACAGCCATTGGCATATGCTGAAGCAGGAAGGGCTAAATGCTTTCTCATCACAGCCTAACCAAGAACCCAAAAGGCTGCAGAGATAACAAGTGGGATGAGTAAACAAAGTAGATGGAAATTACAGCATCTGACAGACACTCTCAGCAGCATACAAATTAACCCTTATAAGCTCTGCACTAACCTTCAATTTCCTCCTCCTCCTCTTCATCCTCCTCATCACTGGATTCGCTGACCTGAACAGTAATGGCAGTGCTAGTAACTGTGGTCCAGTCAAAATAGACTCCAAACCCGATGTCATAGTCATCTGTAGCAAACTCCCAGCAAATGCATTTCCCATCAGGGTGGGTTGGCACACGGACTGTCACCACCTCGCCTCGCTTCACCACCATCCGGCCATTCTTCTCCTTTCCCATCTTGGCTTTGAATTCCTTTGTCTTCTCAGTGGTCCACATGGTGGGTGGAGCCAGAGGGGGTGGCTGAGCTGAGACAAGGGAAAAGATCGTGGGCTCACCTGACTTTTCACTACTGACAAGCCATTTATCTGAACACAGTGAAGCTATTTCTGATAAGGCTTTTGCATTCTGCAGCCTGCTCCCAGAAGCCTTGGATGTTAAGTTTTCCCACTCACTAGACAGGAGACCAAATTTTTAGCAGAAATTAGCAATGTCTCCACGACAGCCTCTGCTCTTCTCCAGCCAGGGCAGGCACTTAAAAAGTGTCGCCAATGAGTGTTTGCCTTTCAGGACTAACCTTTCCTCTGCTCCCCAAGGAGGTCTGCAGTCTCCAGCTCAGCTGAAAGGATATCCACTGCACCAGTGTGATCTGACTGAATCATGACTATATCCCCTGCTCCTTGAGGTACATGGTAGTTGGTTATCCGAACAACAGCTTCCTGCACAAAGCACATAAGAAACATTGTCACAGAGGCCATTGTGGTGAGAAAGTCCCCAGCTGGATTTAAAACAACTCATCAGTAATTCAGGCACCTTTCTGAAGCCAAGTCAGACCCTGCAGAAGCTTCTATTAGTTGAAAAGAACTGGGTGGCTCTGAGACATCTCTGCATTATTTCCCCCACAGCACCAAAGTCATACACTTTGAAGTCAAATGCTGTGTTATTCTCACAAATTACACACCCCTTGGCCTCCCCAGGAGTCCCTATGCAGGCACATCTTTGCATCTCCCTCGGAGTTAATTGTCACTTCTCAACAAAGCAGCAGCCTTGTAGATTTAGCTGACTACTCTTGGAAAGAATTCCCAGGACACAATCTCTCTAGGCAGAGCCTTTCAGCTCTGTGTGCAGCTAGACTACAGCCTCAATCAAACTGTCATTTGTTGTGTCCTAGTTAAAAGTCCATCTGGTTTACTAGGGCCAGACTTCTCTCCTCATACATGCAAACTCACAGCTCCTGAGCTGGGTGCCACTTGCACAGGTCTTCCCAACTGTACCTGTAATGCAAGTGAATTGGCTGCTCAACAAAAGAAACAAAAGATGGCAGAGTCACTTTCAGGTCCCTCTTCTGTAAATCTGCAAGAAGGGAATTCCCAGAAGCCCCAGACAAAAAGCAGAAGGTGAGAATAACCGTGAAGCCTTAGGGAGCCAAAAACTGCAAGTGAGGACTAGCCAAAGACACAAGAGGAATTTGCAAATCAGACTGATAACACTTACCTCCTGCTAACGTATAGAAAAAAAAAAAATGACTGAATCTATGTTAATACTACTTCTGTCTTAACACAACCCTTAAAGCCTCAGTCCCATAACCATAAGCACAGCCGTATGGTGGAAGAACTATTGCTCTACCTCTCTCCTTGCTTTCAGACACAAGAAACACCCACCTACCTCTTTGAGGGACTGGATTTGGTCAGGCAGCTTCTCTTCTGGTTCAGCCACTTCCTGATCCTCTAAAGTGCCAGCTTCTTCCTTCAAATCCTCTGTCACACCCGCACTCACGAGCGTCCCAATCTGCGACCTCTCGGAGGAAGAGAGCACAATTCAGCACTTGTGCCCAGGGCACAGCCAGCAGAGGAATCGCTCTGCTCTAGAACTCAAAGTCAAATGGACTGAAGGGAACAAGCTCCTGTGGTCACCACCTGCCAGCTGCACAAAGAGCCCCTGGCACCCCAGTCCTGCCCTCATCTCCACGTGACCATCTTCTGTGTGAGCCAGAGGGAGCAACTTCAGTGAGATGCTCCGTATTTGTCATCCTTTAGACAGCAGTAATTCACCGCACTCGCCCCACAGCATGCTAGCTCACCAGCGCCGTACTAAGTGTAGAAATCAGTAGCGACTTTTTTGCTCAAGAAACGACAACTTCTTTCATGCCAGCTACTACGTGACATCTGCGTATTCCACCAGAGGTCATCTGGATCAGTGAAAGGATTCAAAACAGTTTTGACAGCCACCCTGAAAATGCCCGCTATTTAAGTGGCCTGTCATGCCCTTCCTATTACCAATCCCAAGAGATACAGTGAGCACCCACGTGTCTCTCTGCCATATTGAAATATGCTGCACAGACAAACAAACTGCAAGACATACAATGGCACCACAATAATAGCACAGATGTGTAAGTACTGCACTGTGACAAGAGGAGATGGACACATTTGAAGAAAGAGAAAGGTATGCAGCAGGAAAAGAATTGGCAAGAAAGGAAACATCTTCAGCATTCATTCTCTGCCAAGGGTTTTTTTCTAAATTATATTAAAGAAATGCTGCATATTGTCTATAGCTGGAAAGTGGTATCATCCCAAATGAACTCAGATGGATGCCAGAAGAGTCCCTGTTGTCATACTCTCAGATACTATGTGAAACTTCCATAAGAAGCAACCTAGTCTTTAATAGAAATAGAAACAGTTGCCCTTTTGAAAAGAAAAGCCTTCTCACAGCACTAAAAAAACAATGTCAACTGCTTTTGTCTAGATCACCAGAAGCATGAGAACACAGCAGTAATGGAAAATACCGATTTCCCCAAACATCTCCTTTCAGAAATGAGAAATATTCTCGTTAGCAAGGGAGCAGACTTCAGTATAGTGTGGAAGAGTTTAAAAAGATCATTAAAAAAAACATACACAGCTCAACATAGACACACTCCTTGCTGCATCCATAGAGAAGACTAGAACAGGGCAAATATGGCTTTTGTTTCCAAATCTTTACTCCTATGGAGGTACAGATTTTATCCAGAAATAAAGTAATTTCTTATTTAAATTATCTTAACGGTATGATTTCCTTGCCTAGAAACAGCATCATAGACCAGAAGGTCTGTAAGAATAACTCAAATGAGCTGAATACCAGGATACACAAAATGGCAGCAGATAAGCAATATAAGAAAAGAAGGGACACTTGGAGGGGACAATTTTTTAAAGGAAGAACTCTCACAGTGATCCGTAACAACTTCTATGGCCGTCCAGGACAAGTTTGGACTTCTACACCGTTATTTTCCAGCCCATTCCCTTTTTACCTTAGCAGTTGCATGATAACACCTAGAAGGGCTATTTGGTCACTTGCTACCATAAGTGCACACATCTACTCAAAAGGCTCTCCGTCAACATTGAAGCTAATAGTTTGGGAATTTTTTCTTCCAGACACCACTGAAGTCCAAGAGTCTCACTGAAAGATTAGAAAGAGCAACACAAGCTTTATAAGCAGATTTACAAAGACAGAGTTCAGCTGATTCCTCCTCACACAACCCTTTTGGACCGCCCCCGTCCCTTTAAAGATCTTATTTAGGCAAATTTATCAGGTAATGCTCACAAGTATCCAGCATCTGCTTTGGCCATTTTGCTCACAGTATATGTTTATCTCTCTGAAGAAGGTTAGAGAACGTTAATGAAGAGATGGAAGAACACATGCTTGGAGTCAGGAAGGCTGAGACAGATATCATTAGCATCAAGCCAAGATGGCATCAAACTGCTTTTTTAGTAAGCAGGGTTGGGGGTTTTTGCTGGAAATTTTTTTTCCCCTCTTTTTCAACGAGGTTGTGGTATATCTATTGTCTGATGTAATTAACTCACACATTTCTGAATTGTACCCTGTGCAACAAATGCATGATGGCAAATGAATCTCCACTGCATATGGTATTAGTGCTTGTAACCAATGCAATGACACTGCTACAAGCACCACATGCCCAGCAGATAATAACAAGCCAAACATCTGATAACAGAGTCGATCAGCAGCATTAATGAAGGAGTGACATAGAAAACAAAGGGTGAAGAAAAGAAACCCAAAACATTGTCAAGAAAACAGTAAAATGTGTTTTCTTGCTCAGCTTCCACCAGAATTATAGAGTGGGAATGCTTAATTATTAAAGTACCCTTCAGACAAGACAGAGAAAATTTCCTGCTGAAAGTTTATTAGTTCTTACAATGGAGTACCAATATCTTGCAGGGTTGCTTCCAAGCTAAATGATTCTGTGATTTGAATAGATGAGCCATGAACTACACTTCATCATTTCAGAAGCTTTAAAACAACCTTAAGCCTGTAAGAACAGTCCCTTCTATACTGATTCCTGTATATACTGTCCCAAAGTGAACAACTCAGGCTCCAGTCCCCTTTCCTCACCTGCACCGAATCAACTGCCATACAGAGGAGATCACAGGGGTGGCACAGACTGTCATGCATGTGGACCACAATACACAAGAAGATTTTCCTACCCACTCTGCGAAGTGCTGGACTCCAAAGAATCAACCAGCTGATCTGCAGGTTCTGTCTTTTGGACTGAGTCTTCATTTTCTAACACAAACAGAACATACAGAGAGTAGGTGAAATAAATTTCGGTCTTTAGAATACACAGACGGAAGGAGAAACTACAGCCAGCACTCAAATGTTGACAAGGTCACACGGCTGTGGAATGAGTAGCTGTGCCGACCAGTTTTTCATGTTATGAGCTGCATCTAGCGCCTTGCAGAACAAAGATTTTTAATTGTCTCAATCCTAAGAAAGAAAGAACAAAAAACCATGTGTGTTTTTGGTGCGCAACCACTCTCCGAAGCAGGGTTTGTTCAGAAACCACCAATCGCAGCTTTAGAAGGACAGAACAAGGCCAAATTTCATCATGTAAAACTGGGCTGACAAAGCCCTGGAAAAAGCAATCACGCAGCAGTTCCCACAGGGCACTGACGAGATGGAAATTCCTGGGTCACTGCCAGAAGACTGCCTACAGAGACGGCTCCAGGTCTCCCCCGAGTCCCCGAACTCCGGGAAAGCTCTGTCCCCGTGCAGCTGCGGTGCGCGCCCCACAGCCCCGGCTGCCCCACCGCGTTAAGGGGGTGAACCGGGCACGGGCAAGTTGGAACCCTTGCAGCTCTCCGATGACACGCCTCACAGCCGCTGGCTGCTTCACGGAGTCAGTTCGGAGCCGGGAGGCACCTCCAGCCCACGGACGGGCACGCAGCACCAGGCCCCCCCCCCCCCCCCCCCCCGACCCACGGCGGAGACCCCACAGCGGGGTCGTCCCGCTCCCGGCTAGACGGGGGCCTCTCTCACCGGGGAAAGCGCCCCGTCTCTAGTAAACCTCCATCAGTCCTCGCTCCTTCCACTGCGGGACCGAAACGCCGGGAAGAGTTGCTGTGGTTTCAGGCGGCAGAGGTGGGCCGGGCGCCCCCGGACGCAGCGGTGCTGCGGGTCCCCCCCAAACCCGGGTGCCGGGCGCGGGAGGGGGCGCCCAAGCACCGCAGCCTGCCCCTTCCCCCCGCAGCCAGCCCGCCCGGTGCGGCGAGCGTTCGCCACGGACCGGTTGCCTAGGGGTGCCGCGTTTCCCCCGCGGCAAGCTGCCACCGTGGAAACGAGGCCTTTCTCCCGAGGAAACCCGCCGCGGGAAGGCAAATCACGGCGTTCTCCCCGGCCGTAAGGCCAACGCGAAAATACGCGCCGCCGGGCCTGCCGCCTCGCCGCCGGCAGCCCCGCAGGCACCGGCCGCGCCGCGGGGGGGGCTCCTCCTCACGGACCCCGGCCGGGCTGTCAGCGCTCGCCGCCGCCGGGACGGAGGGGAGCGCGCAGGCGGGGAGCCGCTCCCGCTGCCTGCCCCGGCCGCCCCCCTCCCCAGCCGGACCCGTACCTGAGGGGTCCCGGGGCGCGGGGCCGCCCGGCGCCCCGGCGGCCGGGGACTCGGGGCGGGAGCCGGCGGCGGCGGCGGCCAGCACGTCCGACATGGGCAGGGCCGAGCGGAGCCGAAGGCGGCAGCCCGCCGCGGCGGAAAGAGCCGAGCGGGGCCGAAGTGCCGCGGCGGCCGCCGGCGGAAACAGCCGAGTCGCGGGCGGCAGGAAGCCGAGCGGGAGCCTGCGCACGGCCGGGAAGGGGAGGGCGGCGCCTCGGGGCTCATCCCGCAGACTCCTCCCCCCGACAGCGCAGCCAATCAAACGCTGGTTCCGCAGAGGCGCGGGGCGCCTGGCGGAAGGGGGAACGTGGTGCTCCTGGCGGAAGTGGCTGTTGCCGTGGGAACGGGAGCCCGGACGGACCGCGGCGGCCTGGGGCCCGCGGGGCTGGCGGCGGCCGGCGGGCCGCAGACCGAGCCCCGGGGCGCGGGGGGGCCGGGGACCGCCCGCCCCTTCCTGGCGTGGAGCGCCGCGGAGGTGGCTGAGTGGGTGGCGCAACTCGGCTTCCCCCAGTACGAGGTGCGGGGCTGCCGGCCCGGCCGGGGAGCCGTCGCCTGAACCGCGCGTGTGTGAGCGTGCGTGTGAGTGGCGAGGGCCACCCGCGTCTCACCCACCTTTCCCTCTTCTTCCCCGCCCAGGAGTGCTTCAGGGCTAACGGCATCACCGGCCGCCGCCTCATCCTCGCCAGCTGCTCCCATCTCCCCGCCATGGGCGTCACGGACTTCGGCCACATGCAGGTGCCGCCGGCTGCGCGCACCGGAGCTCCCTCAGCCCCTCGGCGCCCAGCCCTGGCCCATGCTGCTTGCAGGCAGGCCGGGCTATAGCCTGGCCGTCCAGGCTGCCTGCTTATTCAAAGAGGGAGCCTCAAACTGGACAACCACATTTGTTCAGCCAATCAGTTACATTTCTTGAGTCTTTTCGGGTATAAATTCTTAGCCAGCTGGAGATCACACGCTTCCTCTCACCATAAGTGCATCATAACTGCTTAGCTTTCCTTTTAGCCTACGTTGCTCCTCTTGCTCCATGAAATTGCTTAGCAAGATGCATGCACCTTTCTTAGATATCCCTCAGAACTTCCTTTCAGTAATTTTCCACTTCCTGATTTGTAGAACTTCTAAAAGTCTAGCCAGATGTAGCCTGCAGCAGTTGAGCCACTGATTTCAAGCAGCGGAAGGGCAACTCATTATTACTTCCTTGTTTTATGCTTTGCTGAACACAAACAGCATCTGTCTCCCTCATTTTATAAACATGTAATTGCCTGGCCATTTTCCTTTCAAACCTACATCTTTTCTTTAACAACCACTGATAGTTAAGCTAACTAGACTGAAGTTGGGGGCTACAGTCCGGCCTTCCAAGGCTTCAGAAGGCTTCCAAGGCTTCCAAGGGTTCAGAAAATAAGCAGGTTAACTTAAATTTAATTAGTCTTTCCCCTCCCTGATGGAAACCACAGAGGGACTCGGGGCTGTATTTACAGAGTCAAATAATTTGTTTCGCATCATGATTTAAAGTTGCTTTCCCCAGAGGACACAAGGGTAGGAGTTCAAATAACCAGGAAGAGAAAAAAACCTTTATGCTCCAATGACTAGAGTACGAACACTGTTTTTATTCCAGAACACCAAAAAGCAATTTCACCACAGGTCTGTCTGACTGCACAGTCTTAACTGTTTGAGACAATATGCCACCAAAAGCATTGACTAGTGCCTCGACTTTACCTGTTGGTTGCAGGAGAAGGCACCAAATTACAATGCTTAGTTTTTCAGACAGAAGCCCTTCAAGAGTAGTTCTAGTACAAGCAGATGCAGCCTTTATAGTCCTTTGCACTTACCAAAGATGGCAAGAATTTTATTGTCTTTGTAAGCCTCACCTTCACACTGGGTTATAGGGACTATATATGGTGGTAGTAGTAACTGCTGAGAAACACTAAGCCACGGGTTAGGGATCCCAACTGTAACCCATTTTTCTTCCTGCAGAAACTGAAATTCCTCAGGGCTACGGTAAGCGATAGCCAACACACTGCAGCAAGCTTAGAAATTAGACTGTCTCTGTAATGTTTTCCAAAGTTTATAAATGAATTGGGAACATCTCACAAGCTTCAGTGAACCTAGATGTTCTTGAAGATCATGCCCTATCCTGCTAATTATTTGTGTTTCAGAGAACTTTGATGGAGTCCAAGCGTGCAGCACTCTGAGCAGGATGTGGCCCTTCGGGTCTTTCAGCAAGTGTGTACTAGAGCAGATGCAAAGTTATGGCCATAATCCTGGGCACATCAGCTTCCCAACAGGCAATATCAGTGAAAGGCTGTGAACAGCTGAAACCTGAGATAGTTACTATAGAAATAAATGTGATAGCATCAGCTCAGTGAGAGAGAAACTTCTTGCAATTTAGGGGAAATGTGAATTATGTAGAAGCTAGGCAGCATGGGAAAGTGAAGTTACTGCTGGTTTTAATTCTACTGTACTGGTATTTTAAATATCAAAACCACTGAAGGTACTGGTCCAGTGTTCCTTTGATGTGACACAAAGTAGGGTACTGCTCTACAGAGTCAGGCCAAAGTTGGGGGAAGGTTTTGAGCAAATCCTGTGAAAGATCAGTAAAACCTTGTGAATTGTATTTCGAAGCTTCAATCAAATCAGGTTATAGCCTCAGAAGTGACTTCAAAAATAATGGCAGGGCTCCATTCACTGACAGTTCCAGGTCCAGCTGGCTTGGATAGCCAGTCACCCATCATTTTCTTAATGAGCAATATGGTGTGTTGGTTTAATTAGTTTTTACACCTCTTCTGTGTATAGACTTTGTTGTTGACAATATAACTTATCAAACAGCAGTTTTTGCATTAGACAGAATAGACTCCAGCTCATTCACCCATAGCTTGTGTTTTCTGCAAGAGCAAAGAGGAAAGCAGACCTGTTTGTGCCACTAAGAGACCAAATGTGGTGCCATCCCCCACAGTCAATCTGGAGAATGAGCGGTCTGCTCTGTTTTTACAGTGTCACACAGGGCTCATGGGTTCAGATTCCTCTCTAGTTGTGACTTCCAAGTGTGAAACTGTTCCAAAATTCAAAAATTCAGTTATTTTTCATGCTGCTCTGACACAAAACAAATAGCATTAGCTGTTGCCCTGTGAAATGAGAATTTCTGGTATTTCGTCTTGTATTTCAGGAGATTTCACGACACGTGCGAGAGTTGCTGGGGATTGAGGAGCCTCCCTTCAACAGATCCATTGCCCTCCCATACAGAGACAACATGGGTCTCTTCCTGGAGCAGAAGTCCCGATCAGGAAAGAAAGCAGATGCCCTCACTTTCTCACAATTTATCCAAGAAGCAGGACTGGAGCCCTACGCTACAGCTCCTCCTTTGCAACAAGCCCAGACTGGGGTAGAGGCAGATGCGCTCCCTGTACCACAGGGCACCCAGAGTCAGGATTAGAGATTCACACTGCACTTCCACCTTTGTAAGAAGCCCATCAAGGACAGCAGAATACACCCTTATTACCTTGCAGTTTGTCCAAGGAGGTACAGTTCCACTTTCTTCCAATTATGGAAATGGCCATTGCAGCTCTTAGACATTTGATTACAGCAAACACATCCCCTCATTGGCACTTTTCTGCAATCCTGCGTTTGTTTCCAGGAAACAAGTGAAGCAGAAGTTATAAATAAGACTGTATCACTGGCTGTCTTTCACTTGTGCTTCACATTTTATTAAAAAGACCAAAAAGCAATCACAGACGTATTTTAATTACCAGTGATGATAACAACTTCCCTGCAGCTCAAGTGAATAGATTTCTCCCAGGCTTTAGCATCTGCAGAGTGGTCTCACTGTAAAGCCCGCATGTCAGATAAATGGCATATACAATAACTGGTGTACAGGTGTGGTGCCAGCTGCTGTTGGCAGTCGTAATTAAGCGAGGGGCTTAGTTACAACATGCACAACTAATCCCTGGCCTCACCACAAAAATTATTTCCTGTGAGACAAAACCAATCAGTGGTTTATCATAGTAAACAGTACTGAAACACATGATAGATGATGGCAGGAAGTGTAAGAGAATACTGTAAACTGAACTAAAGATTTTGGGGAATAATAAAAGCTTTGTCCTGGGTGGATTTGGACAGAATATCCAGTTATCCTCCTTTCTCCTTGAAAGAAGTAACACGTAGTCGGTGGTGGTGGTGGTGTGCATTATCACCAGCAAGGAAGTATGATTAAATGCCGATTAAAGCCTGCCTCAACAGAAAGAATGCTGCTGACTAAATCATTACTTTTTTGTCTGGCATCAACAGCTTCCTCAAGATCCGCCATGCTAAAAATTAAAAAAAAAAAGAAAAAAAAAAAAAGATTGGGCCCAGTCCTGTTTAGTTATTTACACCAAAGCTGTAGCCACTACAAAATAACTAATTTGGTTTTGTAATTCAGTTTTCTATTGAAACTGCAACAGAAACCCATTGAAACTGAAGCAGTTCATAAGCCAAGATGATTATATAATAAGCAAATTCAGACCAAAATAAAGCAGGACTCAGGCAGCCAGGGACAAGCAAGTTTTCTGAGCAGTCTACAGGGCGAAACTTGTAGAAGTAAATGTGTACGTAAGGCTATTGGCTGGAATATTTTAAAGAGTGCAGGAGCAAACAGTGCTGGTTCTTGCACCCCTCAGTCCTGTGAGGGGGCTGGGATGAGATCTCAGCAAAGCATTCTGCCATGGGCTTCGTTATAGTTTACAAGGATTTAGAATCACGGTCAGCAGTTTCCTCTGGAATTTCTGAGAAAATGTTGGAGGCAGCTGTGGAGGATGGAGACTTGTCATCTAACGTCACACCAGGCTCCGCTACAGCTGAAGTAAGAGATGACTTGGTGCTGATTCAGTCCACATCAGTCTCCAAAGGATGCCTGCTATGGTATAGCAAGATGGCACCAGACAAGCTCACTCTTTTCTAGCATGTGGCTAAAGGGAGACTCTCAGCTGTGCAGCTATCAGGTCAAACCAGGGGAAGGTTCTGGGAAGAGAAGCCAAGTGGAAACATTTATGGGCAATAACAGTCCAAAGCAGCTTGCTAATAATTTAACAAATAATGATTTTCTTCAATGTCTGACTATGAGTCTCTTTTTTGGGTCTTTGAAAAACAGTCAGACTCGGAGACTTCAATCTAAAGTGTTTTAGGCAATACTCACGCAGAGGAAAACTGAGCCTAGTGGCTCTAGAACAAGTCCTGTATAAGCAGAAATCCTTCCCCTCAAGCAGCGTTCTCCTGACTTAACATCATCCATAGTCTAGTCCATAAATTACTGTAAGTTCATTACCCATAGGAACTGTCCTCTCTAGATATTCCCACAGGAGATTTTTTTTGTGCCTCCAATGCCTCAGTCCTGATCAGCACCTTCAGATAACCCTCATAAGTAACCAAACAGGAGCCAGGGACAAAATAACTCAGGGATGGTACTCCAGGTCTTTTATTGCTAACACATCATCTAAGGCAATCTTCCCTGGGAGGTATGTGGTCCTAAGGGCAACACACAATTCAGCCCCTTCCAACCCAACAAGACAGCCCATGCTTCAGCTGTGGATGAGGCAAGCTTCAGAGCAAAGAGGAAGCCTGGGCAAGCAGTACCTCAGCATTCAGCCCTTTGCTAACTCCTTTTGAGTCACTGACAAGGCAAAACCTCTGCTGACAAAACTCTTGCACACAAACCATGGGTGGGAAATTTTCTGCTCTGCACAGATTGGGCAGTAATTCAGGAAAACAGAGCTCACTGAGTAATTTCAGTGCCTTCTAATGAGGCAGGTTCAGCCACATGCTGCTGTTCAGGGCTGCATAGAAAACGGCCACTAGCCATTCAGCATCAACTCTTATTTTCTCCTGCAAGACAAACAAAATCAAATGCCAATTACTAGTATGCACACAGGTGTGAAGAGATATTCTCATCTCTCACTCCTGTGAAGAATTGCATTGTCAATCAATCAGAGCTGGTTTATTTGAAACCTCTGATCTAGGATCATTTTAGGTGGGGGGATGCTGAAATTAATAATAACAAATCTATTATAGCTTGTATTTCCTGTAACTCATTCTCATCAAGTAAACAGGAGCCCTTTACAGGCTACATATAAAGTCACATAACCATTCAGCCATCATGGCATGATGAGCACTGTAGCTGCTTTAAGAGCCTTCAGAAATGCAAGAATTAGAAGTGCACACAGATGCGTATAATGAAATTGCGATGGACAGAGGTAGCAGCTGGCAATTAAGAACAGCACATTCATGGAAATGGTTGTGCCTGAGGGAAGAGAAAAATATTTTGGACCATGTTGTTCTTGCTCAGAAAGTGTATTTCAGCTCCTGCTCACCTGTTTAGCCTCAGAGCTGCTATTGTTTCATGAAGGGGAACAGTAGCTGTTTAGAAACCGGTGGCAGGTATGTGGAAAGCAGTGCTCCTGAAAGGAAAGGGTGACACCCCCCTCCCGGGGATGATAATCAGAGAAACTGGTGAAGGAGACACACTCTGCCTCATTTTGCCCGCTCACTGCTCATGCACAACTACCCTCTTCCACGCACGCAATTCCCACGCCAGCTTTAGCTGTACAGTGGCAGGATTTCTCTAAGCGGGTTTTATTCCCCACGCTGCACTCCTAACTAACGAAATTATCACCAGCCCAGGCCCAGCTTTGAATCATCCAGGCAGGGGAACCACTGAGCCCAACTCCTCGGAAGAACTGATGCCAAGTTGAAGCGAAAGGAGAGCTTTTGCCTGGTGAGCTGCAGGGGCACGGTGCCCGCCCTTCGCCTCCCACTCATCGGTAGGATCCTGGCCAGAGCGCTGCTCCAGCAGCCTCACGATGGCAGCGAAGGACTTGCTTCTGCCTGGAGGCTGAGGCAGCCGGAGCGAGCGTTCCGGTGAGGCAGGGGATGCTCCTGGGGATGCTCCCGGGGATGCTCCCGGGAAAGCAGGGGATGCTCCCGGGGAGCCTGGACTCGCTGTGCCGGAGCTGGCAGGTGGCCGCGCAGCACGGGTGCGATGGTGGGGTTTTAAGGCCCTACGTGGGGGAAACTCAGAGGAAGCCGCAGGGAATATCCCACTGCACCAGCCACGGCTGAGTCAGCAGTTGCTGGGATTCAGCCCATTAACATTTCTTAGAACGACTCCTTTCCAATAACCATCTTAACCAGCTAGAAGGGCTCTTCCTATTTGATGGACCCTCATTGCCTTGTGTTAAGTATAATCCATGGGTCTCAACACTGGCAATGGAGAGATGGTCACAATAGGATTGTTTTTCCATCTAGTGGTCTGGTTTTTTTTTAAAAAAAAGATGTAAAAATGTATAAAAATCATCCCTTGCACTTTCTCCCCCAGTGCACATAGGTCATACCACACCTGCAGCAGCACAGGAACGTGTCAAGGTCCAGGTGCCTCCCCACTGCAGGCAGATTCCCTCAAGCAAGGTCTCTCCTATCTTTCCCTCTCCTCTCCCCCTCTCTCCAGCTGGATCCCCACTATTTGTTTGCCCTCCCTCAGCCCTGTAATCAACAGCCAGCATCACCCAGGTTTAGCTGATGGCTAGATGCTAACAAGGAGGAAGCAGTTATCCTTTGCAGGATCTGCAAACCTTTTACTAGTAAACAGCCTTGTCCACAGCATGAAGAGCAGCGTCACGCTTGGTCCCTCACTGGTCACCTCAGCAGGAGGCCAGGACTGGCCTGACCACGGGGGCTGGGCACCCCCAGGCATCAGGAGCAGGGGGTACAGGTCATACCCCTGCACTGGGAGCCCTTGGGAGAGCTACAGCAGCAGCTTAAAGCGTAACACAATGCTCTGGGTTTGCTTTTTCAACCGTGGAGACTGCAAGCTGCTTTCTTTGCACCTTGTTTCCTGTGCTGTCTCACAACAGGTTATCTGGCAGAGATAATCTGAGGCCCTGGCAGGAGCAGGGTTTCAATGGTGGCATTGTGTTTGATCTGGAGCTCCCTTGACTCCTTTTGATCATGTTTTCAGGTTTATAGCCACAAAGTCTACAACTTCCTCTAGCAGAAAGCTGAAACTCTAAAGTGTTTCTGTGACTCCAACAGTTGGGGATTTGGGGAAGTGACCAACCACGACAAGGTTTGCAATGACGTTTCACAATAAAATTGTGAGAGACAGTAAGGGCTGTGCTTCTGCACAGCTCCAGCTCAGCCAGCACACACGCACTGTGCTCGCCCCATGAGGTCCCAAACAACAGCAGCACATCCAGGCTCTGACACGACGGGGTCTGTTTTACCTGAGGAGAGGGATGGTGGTGATGAGGCTGTACACAATGCAGCGTTTCTGGATGGCAGGCCAAACGACAGAGCAGAGGGACAGCACGCGTGACAGGAGGCAGCAGAGGAACACGACATCCACCCAGGCCAGCAGCCGAGCGTTGCTGCAAAAGCACGTGAGCCCCTGCTTCGGCAGGCCTGCTGCGATAAGCAAGGAGAAAGGGACTCAAGAGCCCACAGAAGCAGCACAGGTGACCGACCAGCACCTCTGGCCACCAGCAGCACGATTACCTGTGCTCTGCCACATGCAGTGAAACACAAACCACCGCTACCAGGCTGGGACTGCTGGCTGCCTGCCCGAAGTGGCACAGAGGGACTTGGCTGCTGCCCATCACCGTTGCTACATGGCAAAAGGCAGAAGCAGAGTGACACAGAGCAGGCAGACTCCCTGCCAGGAATAAACATGCAGAGAGCTCGGCTGCCTCAGCTGCCTGGCCCCAGTTCTTGCAGGCTGATTTAAAGCCTTTAAGTGAAACAGCCAAGCCTTGGGATCTGGCTAGTTTTCAAGATCTATAAACAGTCATTTAATAATCCCTGCTTCCTCTCTGCCCTGAGATGATTAGAAAGAGGATTTTATTGTTCCAAGCATCTCCCTGGAGGACTGTTCTCCCCACTTGTCTTGTTTCATATAAGAGTTTATGGGGCAGTTGACAGTTTGTACGCAAACAGTTGCTCTAATGCTGCAGGCTGATCTCTCCTGGCTGGGCATTCAGAGCCTGGCAAGAAGCCTGTCTGCTACAACTGACCATGCAGCCCTGAAACAAGGAGAGGGATGTCTCCATTTCAGCACTGCTGCTCGTCTGGGGAGATGTTTTATCTGCTGGGTGAATGTTTAGCAGTCTGGAGTCTCAGTCACTGACCAGGCTCTTGGCAAATGAGAAGGAGAATTTTGAAGAACCACAAAAATGGGGGGGGACTGGACTAAGCTAAAACAGGCCTTCACCTAACCAATACTCGAAGAACAGGGTTAATGTCTCCACCACACTCAGAAGGGACTGGTAAAAAAAAGAAAACAACTAAATTAATGTTTGATGGACAGTGGGTTTCCAACCAAATAAAGATCTTTTCTACAACAGCATCCTATGTTTCCCAATAAAAACCCTGGAATTTCCTGGAACTTCAGTATTTTTGGCAGAAAAACATTATTCAGTGTGTTCAGCCTGAAGTTCTATGAAAAAAAGTGCATTTAAAATTCCACGTAACTGCAGTCCTACTTCCAGGCCCAGGCTGGGGAGCACTTACCAGGCTTTCAGGGCACCTGGTGAAAACAGGGATACTGGGGCATGGAGCTCAGCTCAGCATCAGGAGCGCTCAGGCCAGCTGCTTCCCAATGTGGCCACTGCTGATAATCCCAACCTTCAGCCTGTGGCTGTCCCCCAAGGAAGTCGGCAAACCCTTCTCACGGTTCTGCTCTGGCTGGGGAAGCAGAGGAACTGGCATCAGCCCACAAGTGGTCTTACCCTTACCGGTCCCATACCGCACGCCCAGATTGCACATCCCAACCCCACTCCCTGCATCCAGCCCAGCCCACACCACTGCTCTTCAGTGGGGTTGCCAGAGAGACAAGAGGCTGATGGCTGCAGCTTGGCATCCACAGCATCTGCGGGGCTTGGGGCTAGACCCCAGGGAGCATGGTGTCCCCATCCCAAAACACACCACCCACGCTGAGGCTGGCTGTCTGCTAACTGTAAAGCAGCTCAGCAATTAAGAGCGGATACCTGGCAAACACATCTACCCACACAATGGCCAAGCTCAGGGACAAATCAGCATGAGGAGGACAGACCAGTAGCAGAAGCGGTTGCTGAGAAGTGACACGGGACAGCATGTGCTAGCAGGAGGATTACTGGCTCATTACAAATCATATAGACTAGTGGCAGGAACAAGCGTTGGGCACTAGGAGGTTTCTGGGATTAAATCCTGATTCGGTGCTAGAGACAATCTCCGTTCCATGTTTTTCTCAGCAGAAAACTAGTCCAAGTGATTTAGCACTGACTGACAGTGAGTTTATACAGATGCAGATGTTCAGTAACGAGCAAGTGTAGGTATAAACAGTAGGTGAGTTTTTAACCATGCAGAACCAAATACAAAACTAACAAACTGTAGCACTGTGTGGGAATACCTATATAATGCTTAACTTCATACAGAGCTGGTGTGAACCACACAAAAAACTCCCTACAGAGACCAGTCACCTTCCCCAGTCCTCCCAGTGACACATTCATGCTGTTTAGACTAATGCCAGAATGACCAGATGTGCCTGCATCATGTTTTAGCTCAGTAAAGATGCATTCGTTCTGTAAGAGCTCGGCACATCAAGCTTTCTTCCTGACATGACTGTGTCACCCAGCCAGCACATTTTACTGACAATGAGAAGCTCAGTTCCACCTTATCTGAGGTCATGGAGAAGTTTGCAGGAGAAGATGGCATAGGCACATGTATTCACTGCCAGTCTCTTGTGGTGCCTTGTTAGATACACCAAGGCAGGCCTCACCTTCTACTGCTTCATCAGCCTGAGAGGACTTGAAAGGCTCTGTAACGTCCCACATCTTGGCCCAGAAGGGGAGGCATCGGGAGTGAGGACCCAGAAGAGGGACGTGGCCTTCACCCATGCAGCATCACAGTCCATCCCAGCACCTGGCAGGGTTGTACCTGCAGTGTGATACCCCAGCTCTTCTCAGGGTTTCTTCTTGCCGACACAAGGGCCTAGAAAAGTGGCTGGTCCCCACATGCAACGCAGCCACCAAGAACGAGATGCATCTGTGGACATCTGAACTTATGCTTTCTCTGATGTTACATTTCTCTATTACAGAAGTCCCAGCTGGACTTTAAAGCTCAGCCACCTGCAAGCTGCTGGCACAGTGCTTGGGACAGACTTCACTGGAGCTGCTCCTGGGCTGGAAGTAATGAGAAAATCAAATCTTCAGTAAGTGGTTCGGTTTTCAAGTTCAAAGCTATTTCTTCATTTGCCCTCAGCTTTCCTAGGACAATACTGTACCCTCTGCCCTCCCCAGCTCTTGGCCAAAGCAGGACACTGCTGAGCTATCTCGATTACACGTGTCCCCTGATGGAACCCAGAGCACACTTCAGTGTATCACAAACCTGCACTGGAGATGGAGAGAGGTGAAAACTGGCCCGTTCCCTAGGGCTCTCTGCAGTTCACCCAACTCAGGCACAGCTCCCACAGGGTGAGAGGTACCAACTGGGCTGAAACACTCTCAGCCAAGCTCATCAGGGGCAAAAATGACCTCATGAGCCATTGCAACTGGTTGGAGTCCTGTCTTGCACTATTCACCACCTGCAGCCCGCTGGTGCCCATGGCACTACAGTCGGCATGAGGAACAAGGGTGGCCTGAATGAGGCCCCCGGGTTTCCACCCGCTCAGGTTCTGTCCAGGTTTGTGTCCCCCCATAGTATGGCAAGCACCAGCCCTACCTGTGTGGGCAGCAAGCCCAGACCCCTGGGAACTGCCGCTGCCACGGTGAACGTCCCGTTACTGGAGAATTGCACACTTCCACAGGGGGAAGCAGGGCGTGGGGGCTTTTCCAGAGCCACCGCAGCATCCCCTGCAGCACAGAAGAAAGAAAAAAAAATCAGTTCTGGGGGGAGGACCACCTTCATTGCAGAAGTTTTTTCTGTTTTTTAATGTTGGGTACAGCTGTGCCACCCCAAGAGCCAGCAGCTAGGTCAGCATGGAAAAATGAAGAGTGCAGGGGTTAAACATGTCTCTGTTCCAGCTCCTGCTCACACATGTTCATGGGGAAAAGGTGCTCTCAATTAGAAGAAGGTTGGCTTCTCCCATGGGGCCAGATGGGTTGAATTTCCAAAGAAAGCAAACAAAAAATCCTCATTTTACTATCTTAATGCGAAATCTATCCATGATCTACTTCATCAGCTGGACTGTGCTGCCTAAAAGCAGGTACACGCCAAAAGCACACAGGGGCCTAGGACACGTATGAAAGAGAAAACCTGTATCCTACTGAGGCTGTCCCAAAATCATCTGCATCAGCTGGGCAGTACCTGCTACACTGCTAAAAAAAAAAATAATCCAACCAAACCTACCAGTTTTACAGTAATTTTAGATTACTACTTATTTAAACCCCACCCTCACCAGCCATAGGACACATTTCTCTGGAAATCCTCCTCTTCCTGCCAACACAGAGTAGTCACTGGTAGCCTGTGAGCTGTGGCCGCAGAGGAACCCAGGAATAACTGTTAGGGCTCCCAAATGCTGCCTTATAGACAAACGTTCCCTTGATGCACCATGCACAATCAATCAGACACTGACACCAGCCACAGTATCCTGGTGCTCTGGAAGGTGCTCACAGAGCTTCTGGTATTAGGGCATGAGAAAACTAAATCACTAACCCCATCCCCTGTGGCACATCAGCATTTTCTGTTACAAGTAGTCCTGCTTTGCAAGGGACATTGGCAGTGCCAATACCCACAGGCCAGAAGCACTGCATCCTGCAAACTGCACCCCAACGTCAACGGATCTGTAAGCACACCCAGATCACTGCTCCCCTGCTGCTGGCCTTACACGTCCCCTTACACACCCTGTGTCATTGGTCATACCCCAAGAGAGGCTTCGAGGACCCCATGCTTGGAGAATACAGGCATGAAGATTTATTCCATGGCTTCATCATATTCCTCCAAGGTTATATTCAGCTCCTCCTGTTGTTCCCTGACATAAATCCCAACCAGCGACACCATTCCAACTCCTACAACCAAGCAATGTCCTGGCCTGGGGCACGTGGGAGAGCCTGGCAGCAAACCTTGCCCTAGCTAACAGCATCCTGGCTTGCCTCAGGCTGAATGTTGCCAGCAGGTTAAATCTAAATCCAGAGTGCCCTGTCCAGCTCCGGGTTCCTCAGTACAAAAAGACATGGACACACTGGAGAGAGTCCAGCAAAGGGCCACTAAAATGACAAAGGGACCGGAGCATCTCTTGTTTGAGGAGAGGCCGAGAGCTAGGACTGTTCAAGCTGGAGAAGGCCCAGGGGGGAATCTCACCAATGTGTGTAAGTATCTGATGAGAGGGAATGAAGAAAAGGGACCCAGCCTTTTCAGGGGTGCCCAGTGACAAGAGGTAGTGGGCACAACTGAAACGCGAGTCCATCTGAAGACAAGAAAACACCTTTCTACTGTGATAATAGTCAAATCTGTGAGCAGGTTGCCCAGAAAAGCTGAGTCACCTCCAGCTGTGTAGATAGTGGAAACCTAAATGGACACAGTCCTGGTCTGCTTGTTCCAGGTGACCCTGCTTGAGCAGGATTGGACTAGATGATCAAGAGGTCCCTCCCAACCTGAACAATTAATTCTGTGAGGGAAAAAAACAAAACAAAACAAAACATACACCAACAAAAAAAAACCTGAGTGCACAGTGCAGAAGGGAGGCTGGAACCCAAACCTGCCCTCAGACTGGAGCATTGCTACATATAAGCCTCACCTTTGTGTAATCACCCCTGTGGCAACAAACTCTCCTACAACATTAAAATTAATTCACCTGTGCTGATAGCATTTAAGGTGTGAAATAACGTACTGCTTCAAGTAAAGCCACACCATGGTAACAAGCACTGTGCGTTTCAAGACATGAGAAAAGACCCTGCATACTCGCATTGTGAGAGGTGTGGTAAAGCACTCAGGATTAGCACACAGAGTTACAAAGTGTTCCGTGTGGGATGGAAATAAACAGCCCAAGGAGAAAGAGACAGCTTTATTTAAGGAAGTGAGGTCTGGAAGGATGAAGCCAGCAGTTGCCTGAGGAGTGGTGTTTCTGAGAAAGTGCAAGTCAATCCTTCCTAGCATAACACTCCCAGAGAAAAGAGCTGCTGGGGCCAGGAGGCTTGTGCCAACTGAGAGGGGTCCCTCCTTGCTCTCCAGCCAACCCACCGGGGTTCTGACCACCTCCACACTAGGTGCCTGTCCTTCCCTGACAGAGGGCTCTTCAAAGAGCTGCAGAGTGCAAGCACTGGGACACGGGCAGAGGCTGATGTCTTGGCTCCCTGCTTGAGTTCATACACCACCTCTTTTCCTAGGCTGAGCCAGAAAAAAACAACAAAAAAAGTGAGCTTTGAGGTGCAGCTGGTCCTTTCCCCTAACACACTCTTTGATGCAGGGAGAACACAGTCCAGTAGGCTTTAGTCCAGCCACAGCCATGATTGGTGATGTCCAAGCCAGCTTGAGTGTTACAGGGACTGCTCAGCACTGCCTGGTGGAGAGACCCATGAGTGTGACTGACCTGTTTCTCTTGCGAGAATAAGCCCAGGCACCACCCAGAGCAAACGTGACCTTCCCTCCGTAAACAAAAGCGATGCCTGGCTTACAGCCAAGTCAAAGAGAATCAGATTCCAAAAAGAATCAACCCTGGTGGATCAGTACCATGGTTTCGCTGGCTACGTTGGAGCAGCTGCCTTCAGCCAGCCCAAATACCACTGTCCCACAAGCCACGGGCACCCACTGTCACTGACAAACGCTGATCATGCAATGAGTAGTAACAGAGTTGCTCTGTTGGCACTGGACTGGGTTTTGAAGTTTCCTCTTTCACTGGCAAGGCAACGGCCAAGCAGGCTGCTTCACAGGTGCTCAGTTCTTCCATCGGATTTGCTAGAAGAGAGAACAAGATATGACTAACATCAGTGCTGAACACAGATCTCTCAGGGGCCAAGTCAGTGAGTCACAATCCCCGACAAGGACAACCATGGCCAGAGGGTGCTATTTCTATCAGTTTCACCCTTCACTCCTACACTGAATGCAACCCCAAACATAACATTAGCTTCCCAGCAGGGATAAAAAGTATGTAGGACAGCCATCCAGATACCTAATCTACAGCTGTTTCTGATGAGTCTCTGGAATAAAAAGTAGGTGTTTCTTACCATGTTGGTGAGAATGCTGTTTATCTTCTCTTCTTCTGCAGAGCCTCGCTCCACCTTGCATTTATATGCTGTCAGCTGGATGCGATCCTTTAGATCCCTGTATGTCTAGATAAACAGCAAAACCAGCACCCAGTTGAGTGAAGAGGACAATTCCATGGTTAGATGGTGCCCTGTAGATGAGCCAGGGCAACTCTTCAATCCCCCCCCTCAAGTTCCCACCACAGCACAATTCCACAGCCCAAATGCCAGAAGCCACTCTCGTGGCTTACTTGGCTTCCACTGGGAACCATATCACTGCTCCCAGGCCACAGGGATAAACATGACAGCAGTGGCACATGGCAGAGCACAGGAAACCTAGGGAGAAAAAGCAGGCTCTTGTCCTATCCCTTCACGCACACAGCAGTGACCCACCTCGATGACAACATCATGGCACTTGTATTTGGTGGCGAGGTTCAGCCGTGTCTCCACATCCTCCACCAGGCGCACGTACTCCTGCAGCACCTGCGAGGGAAGGAAGAACGTCTCAGCTCCCTTCTGCAGGTACCTCCTGCCTCGTTCTCTGACCCCAGTCACAAAACTTTCCAAGGTCGCTCGTCACACAGACTTGACCCCTTCTTTCCTAAGGCAACAAGTGACATGGACAAGATTGCTCAGGACCCCAGAGGCAGTAAAGCTTTGCTCACAAAGCTCAGAGTCCTAGGCTACCTCATTCCTAGGGATCGGGTTAACCACTGCCAGCCGGATTAAGCACAAGAAAAGTTAATGTAACAAACAAAGATGGCAATGCGCTGTGGGGAGAGAGCTTCCAGACAACTCTAGGCCCTCTGTCCCTCCTGCAGTCAGACCTAGGACCCAGCCCTCACTACCACTCACATTTGCTGTTGATGCATGGCTCACTCAGCTCAGTGCTGTACCCACCTGGCAGAGCCAGCAGCTCAGCAAGCTGTTCTCCCACTCCTAGCTAGGAAGCAGCTCACTTGGGGAATCATTCACACCTCAAATCCCAACGAAGAGCAGGAGGACATAAGCAGCAGTTCCTTGCTTACCTGCACAGGAGCATTGTTTCTCTGCAAGATCTCCACCACCCGGTGGAAGCCAATAGGTGCCTTCTTCTTGGTATAGCCCAGCCAGTTCTGAAACGAGAGCCAAACCGTATGTTAATCCTAAAGGGAAATCTCTCCAGCCACAAGAAAATGTGTTTCCCCCACTGCCAGTAATGTACACCACCAGCCACCACGTGCACCACTGGCAGAGCAGTGGCTCATGCAGTGGCTGGGTGCAGGTTGGCTGTGAACCCTTTGGTAACAGAGCATGAGGGCAGCCTCCTTCTCTGACCTTGCTGCTGCAGCCGAGCCAGGCCCAGCAGAAATCTTAAGCAAGGAGAGGAGCAATGTATTGCAACGCCCTGCAGCAGAGGTGCTGGGCCCTGCTGAAATAAAACCAGTCTGTCCAGTAACTCCAGAACAAGCCAGCTATCAGTAGTAGATATCAGTATTTGGAACTGAGTCCCCAGCAAGGCTTCCACAGCTCACCTTGGTGGTGAAGAGGGCATCTACATCATCCCAGGCTCGCAGCTTGGCACGGGCAGCCAAGGCAGTCAGCACATACTGCTTATCAGGAATCTGCAAGGCAGAAAGCTGCAGTCAGGGCAGTAGCACAGCTCAGAAGGCTTGTGTGGATTGGACAAGAATGACATCAGCCTCCAGCCCCGTCAGGACCCACACCAACAGCCAGGCAAGGAGGTGAGATGCTGCTTGAGGTCAGGGCCAGCACTGCAGGGAGCAGGAGGTGTGGATTTGCAAGTGTTGCTGCAGCCACGGTGCACGCAGTGAAAGCCTCCACATGGCTCCCACTTGCCTTTCTGAGCCTCCAGAATGGCCGTTGGCTCAAGGAGGATGCCATGACCCCCTCCCTATATCAGTGCTGAGGCCCTCGAAACTCCTCCCACCCAGCCCCTTCACCAAATACAATCTGGCTGCCCACATTTTCAGCTAGTGCTCCCACAACAGCAGGAGACTCACATACCTTAAATGTTTTCTTCAGGTTGGTCGGGCTGCTGAACGTTCCCTAGAGAGAGCAGACAAGGTCAGTGCAAACTCAGCAGGGCAGGCCACGGGAGAGGTTCAGACACCTGTTGTAAGGCACTTGCCTTGCACAGGGTGAATCTCCTCCAGTTTTTACTGCTTTTTGCATTGTGTCAGTGCCACAGGAGGAAACAGCTGGCAGAAGAGAATTGTCCCACCCCATTAGCTCTCTGGTTTCCCCTACATCCTCAACCGATGGACCTCTACCACTTCCAAGACCAGTATCACACACCTCAGCCTCATGGGGTTAAGGGCCAGTTATGGCTCCTTGAAGCCAGGAGTAAAAAGACAGTGGTTTCTAGGAGGCAGTTCCCTGACAGGCTGTCCAAGGTTGAATATCTCATCTTAGAGTACAAAAGAAAACTCCAAACTGATCCCAGATGGACAAGGGAAACTGGGTTCCTCTAGGTCTCTCTGAGGGATGAAATATGACCTCCGTCCCCTTCTTTCCTTAACATGTCCCAGCTTAACCACCCCATATATTGAGGGCTATAGGGATGAGATGTAACCCTTCTCCACTCCCACATCATCCTCACCTCAGCCTCTGTGTAGTGGTAAAAGCAGGAATAGAAGAGGGTGGTCACTAGTGGCATGTTGAGAATTGAAGCTTTGCGAGGATATTTCCGAAATATCTCTGCCTGCCCAGCCATCTCCAAATGCCGATCGTTGGCCTGTGGAAACAGGAAGACAGAGAGGGTGAACAGGAGCCAGGGCAACTGCCTGACAGAGCTGTGGGGCAGAGACCTGGGGAGAGAGTGTTAGTGATAGCAATGTACAAGCACAACCTCAACATGCCATGAAGTCTCAGGTCTGGTATTTCACGCATGTGCCTGGCACAGCAGCTTGGAAAGCAGTTCAACTACACTAGCTAGGGCAGGCTGGTTAGATCCAAATTGGTATAGAGTTAGGGACAGATAGAGATCGCACAGCTAGTCCCAGTCATCTCCTGACCAGCAGGAAAGATTTCATACCTCAATGATGATCTGTCGCTCCAACAGGGTATAATGGTCTTGGATGTGGGAGGTATCCTCAGCTGAAAACGGCAGGCTGGCCAGACAGGGAGGAAGGAGACAGTCAACAGCTCTTAACACAGTACACTTAGAAGGGTGCTCTGCTCTACCAAACATGTTCCCCTGCAGACAGAGATGTGGGGAACACCTCCCATTCTCCCCAGCCTGAGTGGCTAGTAAGTACTCAAGCTCCCGCCCCGCTGCCCTCTCCAACTGGCTCCTTCTAGAAAGGCTCCAGAGAAAGAAAAATTAGGTGACATCTCTCATGGAACAACCTAAAGCTGATGCTACCAATTTCCTTGAGTGCTCAGGCGCCCGAGCTTTCATCCTTCACAACCTGAAGGGTCAATGATCAGAAGGTCCCTGAAGTATTTTTGTCCTCAACAAAGCAGCAAAAGCTGCTGGACTAGTGATCACCACAAATTCTTCCCCTCTGGTCTACATTGTGTTCACAACACCCCACTCCCACTGAGGCAAAACCAACATCAGCTCTCAAACTACGTAAGCTGTGACACTGGGACAGAGGTCTAATTTTCTTTATTACCACCTTCTGTGAAGCACCCACATCTCTCCCACCATCCTGCACTTTCTCTTACCCAATGCAGCCTTTCAGAAATTCCCTCCTCTTTTCTACATCCTGGATGTTCAAATGCTCCCGGTACTGGGACAGCTGGAGGGAGAGGAAAAAAGCAGCACAGTCTGTTCTCATGGATTTGGGTGATACAGGACTTCAGAGGGCAAAATGGGAATGTAAAGCTCTTGCCTGACTACCAGACACCCTGCAGCCAGCCTCCCCCTGCCCACTACACTCAGGAAAGGGAACTTCTACTCCTGGGAATACTCACAGCAACTTCCTCAGTCCTGTCTAGGAACCTGCAAAAGGGAATGAGCATTAACTTGGAGGCAGGTTCCTTAGTAGTGTGCTCAGCTCTGCCACAAGGCTGGGCAAGAGCCTCACCTGAGCAGATCCAGAAGCAACTTCTGCTCACCCGCCTCTTTGAGGAAATGGATCAGGTGACACAAGGCCACCTGCCGCACCTCCAGCTCCCGAAACAAGATCTCTACAGGAGACAGACAGATGTACAGGTGGGTAAAGTATGTTAGCACTACCAAGCCAAAGGGGACTAAGTATGGTGCATGGAGTTGCAAGTCACTGGCAGGATTCAACAACCTTATCCCATCTCAAAGCACAGTCGTGGAGGCAAGAGCACAGAAGACCCATTCACTAAGCTGCAAATTGAATTCACAGCAGGGTGCTACCCCTACAGATTAATTTCCATTCACTCTATCACCACTACCACCTACCACTGCTTAAAGCTCCTCTCTGGGGCCTTCGTAGGCATCACCATCCCCCCCTCCCATGTTACACTCACTGCAAAAATATTTCATACTCAGTAAGGTAGAAATATCCCAGGTGATTTGTGACTTACACCCAGTGAAAAAACTAGCCTCTCTGCCCTTAACTGAGACACTTTATAAGAACCCTGGCCCCAGCTGCACTTACCTC